GTTATTAAATTATCACGTGATTAACGCACCGATGTTATTTGTATGGGCTAGGGGGGTGGCCAGGTCAATTGGGTGGCCAGGTCAAGTGGGAGATACGTTATTATTTATATTTAAAAGGAAGATTTTATAATTATATTTTTCTATATATTTAATAAAGCAATTATTTTAAATAATATATAAAAGGGATTTAAAGGAATAAGTTTAATGCTATATAATTTAAATTATATTATTAATTAATTAAATTATCCGGTTATATTTTAAATTAACCCTTTATCCTTAATATTATTTAATTTTTATATAATTATAACTTTAAATAATTTAATTAAAATTAATTCCCTTTTTAAATATATTAAATAAAGGATTATATAATATTAAAATAGCTTTCCTATATTTATTATTAAAGGGTTAAGTTAAATTATATATAATATAACTAATTAATATTATATATTATTTTATATTATTAAAGGGAAAAGTTAAAAGCTTTTATAAAATAAATTATAAATTTAATAAATATTATTATATAAAGAAAATTAAATTATAAAATAAAAGATCTTTTATTATTAAAGATGTTAAGGATTAAATAAAAGTATAAAGTATTTTTAAAGTAAAAAATTATATTATATATTAAAGTAATCATTATATAAAAAGGAAGGAGATTTATACTTAATATTATAAAGCTTATAATAAACCTAACGCATCTCCCACTTGACCTGGCCACCCCCCTAGCCCATACAAATAACATCGGTGCGTTAATCACGTGATAATTTAATAACTCTACAAATACTAATTGTATGAAATAATAAAATATACCATTAGATTCGTAATAAAAAGAGCTATTTAACGGTACCCTTTACTAACTTTTACGGCTTATATTAGCGGAGTTATTAAGCAATACGCTAAAGTAAGCGCTAAATTAATCCTTGCTTAGCACCCCTTTAGCGTATTGCTTAATATCTCGCTTAAGAAATTTTGTAAAAAATAGTAAAAAATACCTTTGGATTCCCCTTTAACTAACGGATTTAAAGGTACTAATTATTAAATCGTACGATTAATATTCGTCAAGTTATTAAAGATTAAACTAATGGGGTTTTATATAGGTTATTAGGGTGGCCAGGTCAATTGGGTGGTCAAGTGGGAGATGCGTTAGCTATAATATATAAATTTATAAAAATATTATAAAAATGTTTAATAATTTAAATTTAAATTAGTTTAAATTAATTATATAAATAGTTATTAAAATATTTTTAAATATATATATAAAGGTTAAAAATATAGTTAAGTTAATTAAATATTTAAGTTAAATAGGAAATGCATTATTTACTTTTTTTTATTTAAAAGGTATTTTAAATAAAAATATTAATATAAATAAGATTTATTTAGCTATATTATTTATATTTAAATTTTTATACCTTTAATTATATAGTAAACGTTATAAAATTAACTATAAACATTTATCTTATCTAAACTTCGTTGGGTAAGGCTCATACGAAGGTCTCCGCCCTGTAGGGCAAACATGGTATGGGGGATTCCAGTTTCGGATGCCAGAACCTCCAGTCCTGGAGGCTTCCATACCAACACTTCAACATTTGTATGCAATATGAACGAACTTTTACAACCCCAAATGTAACAGCACCCGCATGGCTAACCTCTTGACTATTGGCTAGCACCGCAGAAGGTATGCAGTTCAGAGCACTCTCTTTGATTTGTAATCTTGCGGCTTTCTTCCTCCGCGATCGTCTCATTGAGACTTCTCACTCTAAAAGACCTTGCAACGCGCAACAGACTAGCAGTGATGCCAATCGCCAAAAAGACTGTCTTGATCACCGGTTGCAGCGAGGGTGGAATCGGTGCTGCTATGGCTATGGCCTTTAGTCGCCAGGGCTTCCACGTATTTGCCACGCTGCGAAACACGTCGAGGATTGGAGCATTGGCGGAAATTGAGGATTTAGAGGTTCTCGAGCTTGAGGTAACTTCTACGGAATCAGTCGCCCGATGTGTGGAGCATGTGAGAGAGCGGACCGGCGGCACTCTTGATGTGCTAGTTAACAACGCTGGACGCGGTTTTCTGATGCCACTTCTAGATGTTAACATTGACGCAGCCAAGGAGCTTTTTGATATTAACGTTTGGGGCGCCTTGATCGTCACACAAGGGTTTGCTCCGTTAATCATCAATGCAAAAGGGGCAATTGTCAATCACAGCTCAGTGGCCGGAAATATGTTGATACCATGGAAAGGTACGTCGGATTCCTCATGAGACCCAAAAACAATTGCCCAGCCTAACCCTTTGATCTTGGTGTGGCAACGAACAGGTATCTACACCATGTCGAAAGCAGCGGTCACGCAATTTTCGGAGACTTTGAGAGTTGAGCTCGAACCTCTAGGCGTCAGGGTGGTGACGGCACTCATCGGTGCAGTTCACACGCGAGCTCTCGAGAACTCTCGCAGTGAAGAGTTCAAGATGCCCTCCGACTCGTACTTCAATCCAGCTCGGCAATCGATTCTCGACGAGTACACTAGGATAGGGTATGATAGGAGCGAGCAAGTTGATGTGACAGCGCGGCGCTTAGTCAACGATATCGTCTATGGTGCGACAGGCCGAGTTTGGCGCGGTGGTTCCGCGAAAGAGGCGAAATGGTTAACTTGGCTGCTCCCTCGATGGGCAATGCAGAAATTGACATCTAAGGCGATGGGCTTAGAAGATTTGACACATTACTATACGACGAGTGAGAAATAAACATTCCTATTCCATGCCGGCATTGTTGTAGTTATATCCATAAGAGAGGTTTTAGTGGACTGTAAGTATCTAGCAGGAGTTGTTCTAAGGTTACTGCATGCATAATCTTGGTAATAGTAGAGTCCTGCACGATAGTTCGTTTCCGGAGAGTATAGGATAATTATGTGTATGTACATTTAACTTGATGGTGCAATCTAGATAACAGGAAGGTTGAAATGAACAATGATTTGGGACACAGTGTTTCAAGAAGTGACATGGTTACGCACGGGGAAAAATGTGCAATTACAATCATAAACCGTATAGTGAGTACCAATGATTGGGTACTATCCCTTTATAGGTGGACGTTGAATTTACAAGTGCTTCGAAACACGTTCTTTGTCCACGGATTACAATGCCCAAGTAGTTGTACAAGGTTGCATACACTGATACGGTTCTTGAACATTGTACATCTCGACTAAGCAATGCCAGGGTAAAATATAATATAAAATGGACATAAAGAAAGAATTTGTAAGACGGAACAAATTGCAGTGATATCACGAAATCTTCATCTTTCTCCGACATTTTCTTCCTAACACCCTACTTCTTAAACAATGTTGGCATCAAATACGCGTCACAAACCCCCACAAGGATACCTCAACAAGTCTCCCCGAGGTATGTTTTTCAGAGTCCATTATCGGCACGTTAACTGCAGAAGCAGTTCTCAGTCAGATAATTCACCAGTCTGCGAATTTAGTAGAAACTGGGATGCTCATCCAACTTTCAGTGATAGTGCGTTACCACATACGGTTTCGACGCTTTACCCTGCTCCGCTGACAATCCAGATATGTTGCCTGGGTTGGGACGATTGGGAGTCCTACGGCAATGAGATCCTAAGAGCACTAACTCCTGTAGCTGAACACCACGTACGCCTTCAGTGCGAGCAGACGATTATGCCAAAGGCTCCAGTAAGTAGCCTTAAGGCTTTTGTTGTCTGGCAAGGAAGTCCTCCACGAGATCCTCGGGGCAAGGTTCACGGATGTCTCGTTACGGAAGGCCATTTAGAGATGATGCGCGATCGCAACTGCGGCGATTATATCCAGGTCGAATTTGAGTCGGATTATAGCAAGGAGAAACGAAGCAAGAAAATATTACGGAAGCTCTCACAACTCCCTAGGAGGGCAAGGTAAGCTCCTCTAGGTGCTGTTTCGAGTAGTTCTGAAAAGGAGGTTCCTCGATTTTATTTAATACTTAAATGTAAGTGGAAATGATTCTATTCGACAATAAAGAGTGTTGTTCATGTGACGAGGAGTTCTAGAAGAATCTCAAGCCGCTTTAAGTAATAGACTGTCAGTGGGGTTCTGAACATGTTTGAGGTAATAAACTCTAGATGAAAGTTGATATAAGTCGTTTTTACGCGCATAAAAAGTTCGCGACAGTTACGGAGCATGATTGAAATTCAAGTTTATGATTTCTTTGTTGTACTTAAGTCCCCTCGAGGATCCCGCATCTCAAGTGGAACTGCTAACACATCTCATAATTTAAGAATTTACTTATAACGCACAATTATAAATTATCGTGTTCAATCTGGATTGGGCTTCCTGTTAGGCACAAGGTACTTAGACCCCTCACATAAAGTGCTTCGCATGAGGATCGGGAGCAATGGACTAGCAAGTATAGATGAATAGAAGCAGCTACTTAACGATTTATCCACTATTTACGAAACCCTTCCGCCGCGTAATACGAACATGATAATCCTGCCCCTCCTTCACCGAAATGATTCCCAGCACTGGTCTCCCCACATCCGCCTCAGGCATGGGCGGGTCTCCCACAGCCTCGATATCGAAGCGTCGGAGCATCGTCGCAACGAAGGCCGTGACGAAATACTTCGCCAGGAACCTTCCGCTGCACTTTGTTTTACCCCCGCCGAACGGACGCCACGACTGGCTATTTGGCAGCTTTCGTCCGGCCTCAGTATCGATCCAGCGCTCGGGCTTCCAGACCGCAGTATCGTCCCCGAAGATCTTCTCGTCGAAGTGTAGTAGGCGGTGCGGTACCATCACGCGGTTGCCCTTGCGCAGCCGCTTGCCGCCAAGTACCGTGTCGCACGTCACGCGGCGCACCGACGCTGCCCAGCCCGCCAGTCGTAGCGTCTCGTTCCACATGGCATCTACCTGCGGACATTTCTCAGGGTCCTGGATATGGTTGAGGTCGACAAGGACGTCGCCGTGGAAGGCAGGGGCGGTCTCTGCGCGAAAGGCCGCGAGGTAGTGTGGTCGGCGCATCATATGCGTAAGCATCCAGAAAGATGTCTTGCGGGCGTTGGTGTTGATGCTGCACGTCACCTCCCAGACACTGGGTCAGTAAAGGATCGTGAAAAGGGGCGGAAAGCCCCGACTCAAAGGGAAGGGAAGGGATCGTCTTACGCGAAATACAAGTGAAAGATCATGATGGCGATGTTCCTATCGTCCATCCCCGCACCTCTCATCTCATCTTCCATGGCGTTGATGATCCACGCCGCGTGGTCTACTCGTTCTGCTTTGGGAATCTTGAAGTACGCTGTCAGCGCGCGGATCATCTGGTCGCGCGGGGCCGTCATATCGCGACACAAGATGGCCGGATACTGGTACAGCATTTTCCAGATGACCTCGTCGAAGACAATGAAGGCAGCGGGATAGCCCGGATCCACGCGGTCGAGGGGGTCACCGAAATAAACATGTTGGCCCAGGCGCACGAAATAGTCTGATGTCCACTCGTACAGCGGGACCTGGATGTGCATAGAGCTCCGTGAGGCCGAGTAGGCGCATTCTTTACCTAGCGTCTCAAGGTTGAGATGCGCGTTGATCCAGTCGCAACCCTTCTGCTGCAGCACAAGCATATTGGCGCCGGGGTGGCGCTGCAGCGTATGCATCTTCGCGGAGAGGGAGCCTAGGGACAACCCGTCGGGATTGGGAAATCCGGGTTTTTCCTTCGGCAACGGCGAGAACACGGTCTGTATCGTCTTCTCGTCGCTGCCGTTCGTCCTCATCAACGCCTGCACGAACTCGTCGAAGGACAGGGACTCCATGTTCCTGTAGAGTTCGGCTGAATGTTTCGCATTCGTCACAACGTAGAACGTATTCCCGAATGCTGTCAAGGCGAATGGCGTGCTCTCGCGGCCGACCTGGGCCCTGCGTGGGATGCATGAGCAATGGACTTCCAATTCCGCATTGGTGGTCAGAGTTATCACATACCTGGCGTACGCAAGCAAGCCATTCGAGTCGCGGAAGAAAGCTATGCCGTGGCCTTCATACAAGGAGATAAGTCAACTATATTTATTCTTAATATAACGTAATTGCCACCGGACCTACCGAGTACTAGAAGTTGTCTTAATTAGCCGGCAGGTCTGGTTTGGGAGTAGACAAGAGTCTTACTTGGAATCACGTAGGGTAACTCTTTAGGCTCGTCGGGGTGAAGCTTGGGATAGATGGTAAATCTCCATGTTCTCCAAAGTACCCAGGAGATCAGCAATAACAATATGATATACAACAGCATCACGGGATCCTGGGTATTTAGAAGTGGTCGATTCCAGTTCGGTAGGACTTCATAGAGCTGTGAAGTAGTCATGATGCTAACTCATGCCACCACGGAATTGAATATTATGCCTTTCGCAAGGTTGACGATATCTTCGTATCCTGAGGCTAAGGATAGGGAGCTGAACTGTGGCAGGCAACAGAATCAACTATGCTAGGTGAATACATGCTAATCACTTCGTTTTCATCAAGGACAGTTGTTTTCCCTGCTAAGCTTCCGATGTGTGTGTCATCAGGGTAGATTGTGAGCCGCAGTTCGTACTTACAGCGTCGGCTTCAACCTGTACTGTGGTTACTTCTGTATGAACATCCAAGTACAAGGGATTCGTCGACTTTGTGGCAACAGAGAAGGCGCCCACTTCCCCAGGTATAGGAACCCCAGGTTTGCGGGATGGCCAAGCCGTTCATCCAAGAAAATGGGGAATAAGCCTATGACTTTAGCAATGCTATGGTAACATTGCTCGATGTGAGATGTGACAGGGCCTTTTTTCATGTCGAATATTAATTACAGATCCTCCGACTCCTCCAAGCCCTAATTGGATGTAGATTTGAGCATCATGGGGATATCGACTACTCAGCATGCACACCATCTTTCGAATGTCAGGATTAATAGATACAACACACCTTTATGGGCTATACCGAGCAGGTACTACGCAGAGAAGGGCGATTCCTCGGTCACCAACAATCAAGCCCAATCAACAAGCACCGTTTCTCCGTCCTTCAAGTTAGTGTACTTGACACTTGCCCTCCACACGGCCGCCCTTTTCTCGTCATCTTGCGCCTCGCCGCTTACTGGCTTCGGCTGAGACCCGTTTAGGTACACACTCTTTGGCGTGCTGCCGATCGGCGGGTCAACTGACAAGGCCGCAGCAAGCACATCTGACGCCGACTTCTGTGGGGTGCGCATGAGACCGTCGGGGTTCTTCCAGGCCAAGATACGCATCACAAATGTGATAATGGACTTCACAAGCCAGCCATGGTCACCCACGGTTATGTGGGTGGGCATGATGCCTGGGTCGACGCCAAGGATAGCGATGCGACTAATATCGGGGTCTCTGTTGAGCCGATTCTGAAGCTCGATACTGCAGTCATCGTAGCACCACATCATTAGTACGAATATCACGACAACTAAATATTCCTTCAATAATTCCACGATATATGACATAAGGTAGGCTATGCTCAGCAGACGGATAGACAGCAGAAGAAGGAAAAAAGAAAGAAAGAAAAAAAGGGGGAAAAGGGGGGGAAAAGAGGCTGGAGTAAGCTCCACTAAGAGGGCTGCAGGTACACTAACATCATCATAACGAGACAAAGCTTAGCCGCTCCGTAGCGTCGAATGCCGCACAGGCCGCGGGGATCATTTGCGGAGTTTGCCGGGCTGGCACTCCACTCGCCCTTGGCGATCGCGTCGACCGTTTCACTACTCGCGTCGACTAAGATTTGCTTCCATTCGTCCTCGACAAAGGCGCGGTTGATGCTGTTGCATGGGTCCAGAGGGCTATAATGCATCGATTGTTGCGAGTTAGCCGTTATATTGTTGGCTGCAGGGAAGACACATAACATAACATGAAAACGAGGAAAGGGATGTGGGGTAGGTAATCAACTTGCTCATGGACGGCACCCCCAATCACCACTATGCGACCCGATTCCTTGTCCATGCTTCGAAGCAGTAAGAGCGTCAGGAGCCAGTGCCCGAGGTAATTGCTTGTGAACGTCGTATCGAGGCCCTCGTCCGTCCACGTCTGGCCGTGAGCCTCGCGGAGTCCGGCGTTGAGGATGAGCGCCTGGATGCGAGGCATGGCACCTGACTGCACCTTGGTATTGATCGCTGCGGCCGCCTCGCGCACGCTCGACGGTTTGCACAGGTCGAGGGCCACCATCTCGTGGACCGGCTGTTGATCCCCGGCTGTTGTTGGTCTAACAGCATTGCGGCGCAGGATCGAGCTAAGAACAGTATCTGAGCTCACGTCTCGTACCGTGTAGATGCCGTGGTAGTCCTTCGCGTCGATGATGTTGCTGGCGAGTACGGTGCCCAGGCCGCCATTTGCGCCTGTCAATACGATAGTACCTGTCGGCATTGTCATGTGTTGCTTTAACTTCTTGTCTTTGTTGACTCCAGGGAACGGAGGAGACGGCGGTGGTGGCAGAATGGTTAGCTGTAAAGTTCTAGACTGTGAAAAGCAGATTGGACTCATTCGTATCTTCTCCCAATAGGAGGCAAGGGATGAGGACTGCCAACTACATTCCTGGTAGGTATGTGATACGCAGTTTTATAAGGCAGGTGGCGGAGATATCTCGATTAATTCCGTTCTTGACGCCTCTGAAAGAAATTGGATGCAGCTCAGAAGATCGCACAGGTAACAGACACATTCATTTTCATTGGGCAATGTTCACTATGTAAACTAGCACCTTGTGTGTTTACAGAGCTTCACACATATTTACAGGTGTATAAAATTACGTATTTAGCCAAGAACCGCCCAGGGCAGATAGCAGAATCCCCTTTTTAGAATGTTAGTTATTTTGATCTTCTAGTGCTCTTGGTAAACATACCGCCATATGGAAGCCAAATACCCTCCAGACCAGCTGTAGAATAGTACTTTGGTGGGTTGTTGGGTTCGCTCAGATTCGGCGGGTTGTCTTTGTATGAATTAAGCCGTGGAGATATAGGCCCGCTTGGTGAGTCTAACGGGTCGACGAGAAATCAATCCGACCAAAATGAATTGACCGGCTTTAGCCCATTTTTGGTATTCCAGACACTCTCATTGGTATGAGGGCCGTCGGTATTAACTATCCCCGTGCTTCCCCTTGGCAGCTGCCATTTCCCTATCACAGTATCTGAATGGGGGGCGCTAGCAAAGAAGAAGACCTTGACATGTAAACGGAGGGCCTCGGCATAGATTGATGATAAAAGGGGCAGCTGTAATATCTTCTTGGGGTCGACAGGTTGATCCTGCAAAGAGCCAACTCTTCCAAGGTTTCTCACTGGCAGTGATATGTGGGCCGTTTGGTTAGGATATGTTGCCTCCTTACTACCGTTGTCGCTCATTTGTTATGGTTACGCCTAAAGAGCCAGTATAAGCAAAGCATACCCCGCTGATCTGGCTTTGTTTTCTGCTTGTCCTCTCACTTTCACTCCCAATTTTCAGCCAACCAACGGTCCCCAATCTCGCCTCCTCTCTTGCCACTGCTGCCCTAGAACAATGGTCCCCGACTCGAGCCTCGCCCGTAAATGTGTAGGAAAACTGCCCCTTCCCCGCCTGTAAAGTAGGGGCATCACAATGCATTTCCTCTAACTGAATCTTGCAGTCCCAGGCATTGGTTGCTCTGTTGGGACCAGAAAAAGTCTCCTTCCCAGGGAGCGAGTCCTATAATTCGGTGTTATCATCATATTTTACCCCGCAGGTAGTAACCAAACAGCCTCTATGCGTCGTCTTGCCAACAACTACTGAAGAGCTATCGGGGGTCGTGAAATCGCTGACGGCCAGCTCGTGTGACTTCGCCATTCGATCTGGCGGCCATGCAACTATACCTGATGCGTCAAATGCGTCGGGAGGCGTGACGATAGATCTACGGGGCTTTAACTTGATGGAGCTCAATGAAGACAACTCGGTGCTCACTGCAGGTGTAGGTGTAACGTGGGATGCAGTCTACTCTAAGCTTGACCCCTTGAGCCTTAGTGTCGCTGGTGGCCGCGTTGGTGGTGTGGGAGTGCCAGGCTTGACCTTAGGTGGCGGTATTTCTTACTTCGGACCACGATACGGATGGACCTGCAACAGCGCCTTGAGCTTCGAAGTTGTCCTCGCCGACGGCTCGATCGCGATAGTCGACGAGGCTCTTGACCCTGAATTCTTCCACGGACTAAGAGGCGGAATGAACAATTTTGGTATTGTTACGCAAATTAAGTACAAAACATTTCAACAGGGGCTTCTGTGGGCTGGCTCTGTCTACAGTCCATTATCTAGCCTGGATGAGGAGGTTAAAGTGTTCAGTGAGCTCACTAAAGCAGAAAACTACGACGACTTCGCCTCTTTTATCTTCGGTTTCGGATACTCCAAAGAACGTAACTTATCGGTGATTATTCATGAACTCGTCTATACGAAGCCAGTCGAGAATCCCGAGTACTATCAGGGTTTTCTCGTTCTGCCATCTATCTACAATAACTCTTCTATCACTAGTACAAGCTCACTCGCCCAGGTAAATGCGAAACAACTACCAATTGGAAAAGCTCGGTGAGCTATGACAAGCACTTTCTCGCAATGTTGCACCATATACTGACGGCACGCAAGATATGCATTTTCCACGACGACATTCGTTCCCACGGAGGCAATGACACATGCAGTGTTCAATGCATGGAAGAGTAGCTTAGAGGTCGTTGGAGATATCAAGGGACTTAGCTGGTCTATTTCAATGGAACCCCTCCCGCCAAGCACGTATGGGCGTGGTGCGACAGCAAACTCGATGGGACTCGCAGATCGCAAAAAGACCCTTATTGTCTGCCTGCTGACGCTAACCTGGGCGGACAAAGCTGATGATGACCGCATTCAGGACGCGCAAGCATCCCTCATTGGGTCAATTGAGGAGGCTGCGCACAAGCTCGGGACTTACGATCCTTTTAAGTACATCAACTACGCGGCGCAGTGGCAGGATCCCATCGCGGGATACGGGAAGGCAAGCGTGCAGAAACTTCAAAAGCTGCGGGCAAGGGTTGATCCTGATGGAGTCTTCACACATCGTGTTACTGGAGGCTTCAAAATCCCGGAGTAAGCTGCAGTTAGATGAACTCGTGTGCAGGTGCCGCGGGGTTGGGCCGATGGTACTCCGCCAGGAGCTACAGACAACATTACAGCTGAGTAGAAGCATACGACTTTGAAACGAGACGGTTCTCGAATGCGGCTGTAAGATGCGGTACAGACTGGAGGGTCCCAATCTCTGAAGCCAGATTGAAAAGAAATCCCAATGGATTAGTCTTCGGCCACTGAGGAAACCAACAGCACACCGCTCTGTACCGTACAACCAACTGCATAACGTCCCCAGCACCAGAGACCTGCACGTAACAATCCAAGAAAATAAACATAACCAAAGAAAGCTGCCACGGAACAAATGACGCCGTTAAGCCCGTGCAAGATTAACGGCCTCTATATGGCATACCCTTACGCTCATATCCTTGCCCAGAGATTTAGCTGACCGACATAGTACCTGCTTTATGATTAATATGCAATTTATTCAACACACCCCTTCCGCTGTTGCCAGCTGTAGTTGGTTCTTAAACTGTTGGATTATCTCATTCAGAACTGTGGTTGTGTTGGTCTCGTGCTCTCCTTTTTCAGGAGGCAAGTACCTAGGTACCTAATCTAAGGTTCTGCACCGTGTTTCAGCCACTCATACCAAGCCACTAGCTACACTGCCACTTATTGCTTAAGTAATACAGCACGCGTGGGCTAATTAGTCTACGCGCGTCACCAAATCCAACACTTCCATCTAGGCCTTATTGTTTTTTCGCCAATCAACCAGCACATCGTCACACATCCGGGACATAGAATAAGTATCGGACATGACCTTCAACACAGGCACATCCACACCCATTTCCTTCAAAAACCATTCTCGAATGCGAATAGCGACGAGGGAGTCGATGCCCAGACTAGCCACAGGTAGTTTACTATCCAGGACCTGAGGATCAATCTCGAGCATGTTTCCTAGCGCTATCTTGAATCCCTGCTCGAGTATCGTGAGGCACTCAGCAGCGTCTTCGGCATCAGCGAGCTGCGACTTGATACTGGCCGCGCCCCCGCTCTGCTGCGCGCCCGCGTCGTCTTGCTGCTGTTGCTGCCCGCTGTAGCACGACAGACGAGGATCGTCGCGCCATTCACCCTGGAACACGGGCCTGATACCCGTGATCAATTCCCCAGTCTGTCCTGAGCCAGGACGCCCGCAGACCACGGCCTCTGCCAGCATCTCGTGCAGGTCAGTTTCGGATTCTCTGTTGAATCGAGGAAGAATGGCCTTATAGATAGTCTCGGCATGGTCGGAATCTCGCCTGAAAATGTAGCCGAAGCCTGTCAGGATTGCGATGTGGATCAGGGAGCCTGCTAGACCGCGCTGCCGTCTTCCCTGCACTAGACTCGCCATGTAGTGATTAGCGGCCGCGTAGGCTGACTGTCCGATACTTCCGACTATCGATGTCGTTGACGAGAAGCAGATGAAGAAGTCTAGTGGTTCATCGCCAAATACTGCATCCAAATTCTTGGACCCGACTACCTTGGGCGCCAACGTGGCATAGAAGTCTTCCCAGGGTAGATGATGGAATAGACGGTCGCGGAGAACCATGGCTGCGTTCATCACACCGCCGATAGGCGGCATTGTGGATTTGATCTCAGCATGGGCGGCACGGAGCGAGTCCATGTTGACTATATCGGCGGCCATGGGTCGTACATTTGCACCTTTTCGTGAGAGGTAGTTGAGTACCCCTTGTGGCACGTTAGGGTTTCGACTGGTCAAAACTACGTTTCGCGCACCGTTCTCTACCATCCATAAACATACTGATATGCCCAGATCTCCTGTCATGCCGCATAGGAGATATGTCTTGTCCGGTGAAAATAGCCCGCGGGATTCAAGGGGCTGGACCAGTGCGCTAACACTATCAGTGGTGGTCCAATTGATTACCTCCGTTGGGTCAGATTTGCCGCTCTTCAGTGTGGAAGCTTGGTCGATGCCCGTGACTTCAACATTGTTGGACAGTACCTGTAGGAGGCTAGATTGAAGTTTCACGGCAAGATTGCCGAGGTCAGAAAGGCTCAACTTGATAATGAGCTCATTAGTGGATTTGTTGGCGATGGTCGCAGCGGGCGCCGCTGCCTGAATCAATCTAGGTATGGTCTGATGTTGCGCTTGTGCCAGATTAACAAAGCTCTGTAGGCCACTTGGACATATTTCCTGTATATCTTCTTCGCTCGCATAGGGATGAATGAAGTTTACACCTGAAGTGTCTGACATTCGCGATGTGGTTTGGAATACCGTAATCCCCTGTTCGCTAGCAACCGTGTCAATGACCTTACTGATGCTGTCAGGAGCACCGTGCACCCACGCCGGCGCTTTCAAGTTACTCAGGAGGTGTCTTGCAAGTGCCTGGGCCAGGAACTGGTGCAGCCATGCGATGTCATCGACGGCTGTCAGCTTGTCATCCTGCCAGCGACACAGAATGTGATCCCTGGGGACCTTGACAAGGGATCCATTAACACTCGAAAGAGCGAGAACCTTGTCTCCTGAAGACAGTTCGTGGCCGATGCAAACAAATTGGGTCTCCTGTCCGTCATAGACGATGGCAGAGAGACTGGAAGCCGTGACCCGCAAGCAAAATTCATCACCCTTAGTACTTCCGAAGGGTATAGCTTGTAGCTCAAAGCCATTCTGACTGTCGTCGAGTACCACCGCCGTGTCTTCGGCTTGAAGGCTAGTTGTTTGCGTAACATTCCGAATCCTCGCAGCAGACCGACGATTGATGTCGTCTAGAGGCAGCACACGAGGTATGTAGAAAGCGCCATTCTTGAGCGCCAGCTCAGGCTCCTGGGTCCACAACATATGGTCGGTTTCGGATGGATCCACTAGAGCGAGACGGAGAAGCATCTCAGCTAGTGTGGTTGGAACTAGAGAAGACGGGTCATCAACGTCGAGGAATTGAAGCCTGAAATCCATTCGTTCAGCGCGCAGTGTACTTGAAAGGCCCAACGTGATGTTGGCTTCGGGGTCTTTGCCTGATTTTGCGCCCGATGCCACCCATAGAACTGACTCAGCTGTCTCCATGAGATCTTGCAAGCCCTTGAACCTCTTTTCGTTCATATCGCGGAACGCTGGGCTATCGAGGTCGTTGAGGCACAGTACAGTTGCGCGTTTGGGCACGTTAATGCCCTCCAGACCAGAAAGTGCTGTGATCTTCGTGGAGGCGGAAACTGCTGCTTCAAGAACTGCCTTAGTCTTGGACGCGAGTTCGGCGCTGGCGCCACCGCCAATGATGATGATGTCATTAATAGGCGGAAGTGCCGCTGACCCGGCATTGAGAGGCTCGCGGAGTAGCTGTATGCTCTCGTCGACTGCCTGGGCCACGATGACGGAACAAAAGGATGGAGTCGAGCTGATATCAACTCCTGAAAACCCATTGGCCTTCAGCAGCGTGTCCCATCGATCTAAGCCAACGGTGGGTGCCCAGACTCGCCCATCATCTATGCCGAGGAACCATCCAGGGAGCGTCGACATGACCAACTGCGTTGGCAAAAAGTCTTTGGTGATCTCTAGCAATACTAAGCGGCCACCTGGACGGAGAAGCTGTCGGCAGTGACGCAAGGTTTCGTCGAGGCTTTTCGTCGCATGCAGACAGTTCGATGAAACGACCATGTCGTAGGCTCCATTTTCGAATCCTTGATCCACCGGATCATTCTCAATATTCAGCGTCTTGAAATTAAGTTTGTTGATATGATTACTGAACACGGTACGCGCGTTATCGAAGAAGCCGGTAGATATATCCGTATATGTGTACGAAGCGTATTGGGTTCCTAGGGCGTCTAGTACGGCTCGTGTAGTACCTCCGGTGCCAGCTCCGACCTCAAGGACGTTCATGCGCGGATATCGGTGCGCAATTTGTTTGACCATGACCGCAAGATCCTCATTACCGTCTTTGGCGCCGAGACCTTCAACATAAAGGCGGTCAAGCATACCGTCTTGTGTGAGTACTTTGAGAGGAGGTGTGGTACCGCGAACAATACTGACAAGATTCTTTCCCATAGCATGGAGGATGTTCATGTCGTTATTGTCGGCTGGTTGGCTGTCCCGCCACTCTTGCACCATCGCGAGGGTGTCGTTCTTCCACTCAGGTTTAACTTCGGGATGCTCCCCAGCATCAATCTGGGGAAGCAGATGCTCCAAAACCCAAGTCATCATGTGTCTCCGATATTTACCCATCAGCATCAGCTCCTGCTTTAGGATCTTCTTGCGAAGCTGGCGCAAGTAGAAGTGAGCTGTGCGCGTAAGCTGTTCATACAGAACCTTCTCCTGCTCCGAGAGTTTGGTTTCTTTGCCAGGCTCAATTCCAAAGTCGGCATCCCTAACCCACGTGGTGTCGGCGTAAAGCCAAGGATCCCGGCGTTGGCCAACCGCCGTTAGGTGCACTCCACGCACCTGGACGTTGATTTGTCCATCTGCGGCATCAAAGAGGTCGACATCTCCTGTCAAGGTAGTTTTCCCTGTCGCGGTCACGGTTGCGTCGGCATTAAGGTCGAGCGACTCTTGAGGCTCGGAGGGCGCCATGCTGATTCTGACACACTCCACGCGTGTTGGCAGGTAGATGCAGTTTACGCGGCCATCCCCGGGGAAAGAAAAGGCAGCTAGAAGACCTTGGAAGGCGGTGTCAACGGGTGCGGGATGCATGCACGACCGAATCGAGGAGCCTTCTGGCGGCGAGGAAACGGTGACCACGGCGCGGTGGAGCCGTCGAAGCATTGACTTCGCCTGGAATAATTCGGCATAGTTGAAACCTTCTTCGGCCAGACTCGAGTAGAGCTGTTCCATGTCTAGAGCATCCATGGGAAGCAGTGGTTTGGTTCGCCGAGGTAAAACATCCTTGCTCGGCTCGCCCAGCCAAACTCGCACGCCACCAGTGAAATGGGACGTGAGTTTGGCTTGAGGAGTGTCGAGCGGCTGGACCGAGTCGACGGGGCCGCTGTAGCAGGCAACTTCGGCAGTAATGCACTCGTCAGACTGACTCGTGACGTGAACGGTGAAGACTACCTCCAATCCTGACGAGTCTTCTTCAAGGCGCATGGCACGCTCAATATTGATATCATGCAGCTCGATTAATCGCATTGGTTGCTGATCATCGGCAAGGCGTGTCGCTGCCTCGTACGCCATTGACAAGTAGCCGGATGCCGGGAATAACACTTCACCTTGGATCCGGTGCCCAGCGATCCAGGGCAACTCGCTCAACCTGATGAGTTGCTTCCAGTGTATTTCACGCTTGCCACGCTCGCCGTGCGTAACACAGTGACCCAGAAGCTCGTGACGCGCTTGGTCTTGCGTACGGAAAATGCGAGCTGATCTCGATTCTTTCCAGATGAGACCAGGGTGATCCCATGAGTAGGCAGGGAGACCTTTCAGAATGGTAAGCTTTTGTTTCTCAGTACCATTTGCGAAAGCTCTACGGACTCCGTCGAACGTAATCAAGGGACTTGACGAAGGAAATAATTTCCACAAGAATCCCAGTGCGTCAGCAAATGACTCAACTGCACTTTGCCCGCGCTTCAGAACACCCGAGTATGGGAGAGTTAGACCTGACAACGACTTTATGGTTTCTGAGCTGGGCCCTTTGAGAGCCGGATGCGGACCAACTTCAAGAGCAAGGTCGAAATATTGATCTTCGTTGAGGGCTCGCGAGACTGCCTGGCTGAAAAGCACGGCTTGCGTCATGTTATCGACCCAATACTGGCCCTCAAGGAGGACGCTATCAGCTACCTGATCAAATGACCGAATTCGACCGTTCGCTCCCCAGACACTAGAGTACCACGTGCATTGCTTGCGCCCCTTGTTCACCTTGACTCCACATTGCTTCATGGACTCGAGATAGGGGTTGCCGCATGGTTTCATGTGATGAGAGTGATAGGCCGTGTCAACTTGTAGCACGCGGGCAAAGGTGCCGTTCTCGCGAAGACGGGCTTCGGCCTCGTCGATAGCTTCAGCATCTCCTGCCAGGGTGCAGCTGGTCTGCGAGTTACTGGCGGCCACGGTGATCGCTCCACTAAAGTCGCTGCAGAATGCGGTGGCTTGGCCTAGGGACATGCCCACCGCCATCATCTTACCGCGCTTCCCGCCTGGACCGTGAGCAAGATGGGAGTGCACACCTCTGTAGTAAGCGACGCGAATAGCGTCCTTAGCATCGAGGTAACCCGCAGCATACGCAGCACCAATCTCACCGGACGAGTGTCCCACGACAGCGGCGAAGTGTATACCGGCAGCGCGCAAGGCATCTACCAGACCGACCTGGAGCGCAGTACACAAGGGCTGTGACACGGCGGCCTCGCCAACGCGGGATGTTTTCAAAGGCGCATAGAGTTGATCGACCAGTGTCCAGTCGGGGCGATCGCCCAAGGGGAGCGAATCAAGACTCTCCTGCATCTTGTCGATGGCATCACGGAACGGAGCTGAAGCTCCGTAGAGATCCTTGCCCATGGTCGCCCATTGCGCACCCTGGCCCGTGAAGACACCCAGGATCCGAGGAGGCAGGACCTCGGGGATGGTCGCCGTGCGGGTGCTGCCTTTGAGAGATTCGGTAGCCGCCTCGAGCTTGTCGGCGAGCTGCTCGGCAGATGTGGCAGAGAAGGCCGCCCGGAAGGGGAAGTCCGTCCGCCGGAACAGAGTGTAGGCGAGCTGAGCGAGATTGGCGCTAGGGTTTGCGCGCAAATGGGCGGATAATGCCGCGGCATTTGCTGCTAGAGCTGTGCTCGAGTTGGCTGATAGGACGAAAGGCCCGGCGCTCTGGACTTGTGATTCGGCGGTGTCTTTTGTCGTCGTGTGGCCGTTGATTTTTCCATCGTCTGAAGCCTTAATTTCTTGCGGCTTGCCGTTTGGCGTGTGTCCATTTGGCTTTGCGTGGCCATTGATCGCATGGCCGTTCGTTGCACTACCGTTCGTTGCATGGCCGTTCGTGGTATGACCATTTGTTGCGTGTCCGTTTGTCGCAAATCCATTTGTCACATGTCCATTTGTTGTATGGCCATTTGTATGACCATTAGTCTTAATGTCGTTCGTCCGAGTTTTAGGAGTGTGCTCATGGCCATCCCAGCTCTCAATGATGGCATGCGCATTGGTGCCACCAAAACCGAAGCTGTTGACACTCACACGGCGCGGCGATCCTTCCGGAACGATAGGCCAGGCGCTTTTCTCGGTCGGAATGCGCAGGTTTGTGTAGTATGGCTTAATTTTGGGATTGAGCTTGTTAAAATGGAGGTTCGCGGGAATCTCGCCATGCTGGACGGCCAATGACGCCTTCAGTACACCTGCAAGTCCCGCAGTACCCTCAGTATGTCCAATGATGGTCTTTATACTGCCAACCATAAGCTGGCCGTCGTTTCCATCGGGAAAAAACACGCTTTGGATGGCTCGAGCCTCAATAGCTGTTGCTCATAATCAGCATCAAAGTTCCGAAGAGGTTAAAGAGCTGAACGGTGAGCGAAATACTTACGGTCTCCCGCAGGTGTGCCTGTCCCATGTGCCTCGAAGTACTGTGGGCGATCTGACTCGAGTGCTGGATCGAGCCCGCAGCGCAAGTACGTATCCCTAATGAGCCTGGCTTGTGACTCGGAGCTGGGCATTGTAATTCCCGGTGTCTTTCCGTCTGAGTTGACGCCTGTCTCGCGAACGATGCATTCGATGTGGTCGCCGTCTGCGATTGCCTGGCTGAGCGTTTTAAGGAAAACAGCAGCGAAACCCTCGCCGCGGGTATAGCCATCCGCAGACGCATCCCACATGAAAGATCGACCATTGGGTGAGAGCATGTTGAGCTGGTGCATATATCGTCAATTTACTTGTATGGAGCTTATGACGCTCAGGGGCGTTGATTGATAAAAACGTACCTTGGATTCACTCACGAATGGCTCCGGGCCAATGATGAGGTTCGAACCTGCTGCAACTGCCATAGTTGCCTCTCCATTCCGCAGAGCAGATACTGCTTGGTGCAGAGCTACCAAACTAGAGGAGCAAGCAGTATCTATCGCCACTGAAGGCCCTCTCCAGTCATAAAAGTACGATAGACGATTGGCCAGGATAGATGCCGCAGTGCCAGTTGCGTGATACTGTGGCAGACTCTCAATGCCACGTATAGCAGTAAACTGGTAGTCAAAGCTCATACACCCGACGAACACGGCGGTGGATGAACCCTTGAGTTGGTGCATCGAGTAGCCCGCCGACTCGATGCCTTCGTATACTGTCTCGAGCAGCAAGCGCTGCTGAGGGTCCATGGCCTCGGCCTCCTTGGGGTTAATGGAGAAAAAGTCACGATCAAAGCCACGGGGGTCCTCATCTAGAAGATACGCGTGCCTAACGTTCATGCTCTATTTGATCGATTGCGTTAGTACAGACACAAGGTTTTCAAACGCTGACTATCATTAGATAGCCAGGTGACGGTGGGAAGGGTGCGACCTTACTCCATGATGCTGGCTGTTTGTGTGATGGAACGCCTTAGTATTGAAACGAGTCGCTGGAATTTCTTGCAACACATCTCGTGGGCTCTCAAGTAGCCCCCAGAGCTTAGAGGGTGATGTGGCGCCGCCGGGCAACCGGCAGCTACTGCCAACTATTGCTATGGGGTCGTCCTTCATTGTGACTGGCGATAAGAGTATATGATATGAAGGCTGAACGAGACAAGGTGAGTGCGAAGAGATAGGTTCTTATGAGAACCTTGTAGTATGCCAAGAAATACCAATGGGACGTTGAAGTCTCAATAAGTTCCCAGGAGCTAGGCCAAAAGGCGTAGGGAAAGATACAGCTTAACGGTATCAAGCTGCAATTGACACCAGGCTGGAAACTGGGCTAGACTATAAGTCCGGTACTATGAACGTTATTGATACCCCTTTGTTTGACTCGCAAAGCAAAGGTCAAAGGACAGGTAAGATCATGCTTACTGCCATCGGGCTCCGAGGCCCTTGGTGATGGTCTAAGCGCAGGCTGCCGAGCTTGTTTGTATTGGTCCCGATACTAGGCCTGCTGAATGGTGGCGCATGCCGGTAGGTGGATGACTTGGCGGACATCGTGTCGGACCGGACCGTGATGTCGTATCTCATCGGAAATCCTGCGGAGGGTATAGGGTCCGATCAATCTGGGGTGCAGTGTCAAGGGTAGTATTAGTGCCGACTTACCTAAGGTAAGTAGCCGTATGATCTGTCTCACGTCGGCATACAATGTGGACTGCTCTCTCAGGCTCGCACTAATCAAGTGCAAAATTACACAAACCCGCATGAGGCTCTGACTGCGTTAGTTGATGCGGCAAGTGGCTGAAGTGATTTGGTTATCTTAGGATCTTGGACTTAATACACAACCCTAGAAGAGAAGCATAATCCTGTCGATACTTACTCTACTTACTCTACTTGATCAACTACCCATTTTCTCTCCGCTCTTCTTTACCGCCTAGCGAATCTCAGTTATCTCATAGCTACGATGAAAGCTATCATTGGTGCCGAATCAGGGGGTTACCGCCTAGCTGACGATGTCGACGTCCCCAATCCACCCCCAGGCTCGATGCTAGTCCGCGTACACGCGGTCGCTCTGAACCCACGCGACGCGAAGATAGTCGACTTCAATAAATCCCCTGGCTCCTTAGGCGGCTGCGACTTCGCTGGCACCGTCGCCAAGGTGGGCGAGGGCGTCACGCGGTTCGAAGAAGGAGACCGTGTACTGGCCGTTACCTTCGGCTCGGATCCCTTCGACAAGACTCAAGGCGCTTTTGCCGAGTTCGCTCTAGCCGAAGAAGACATCAGCTGCCACATCCCGGACGCCTTTTCTTTCGAACAGGCATGCGCGATGGGCCTCTCGTTGGCGACAGCCGGTTTAGCTCTGTTCGAAGCACCTGGGCTTCAGTTGGATATGCGAGGGGGGGCCGGAGAGCCCGTGCTTATCTCGGGAGGTGCTACGGCTACAGGCACTATGGCAACGCAGTTGTTGAAGATGTGAGCGGATTCGTCACTTGACACACATTATCCCTTCCAGATCAGATATATGGTAATGGTGCGAGTTAACTGACGCTACTACTACCGCAGGGCTGGGTATACACCCATCGTCACCTGCTCGCCAGACAACAACGCCCTATGCGAGTCATACGGTGCCACAGCATGCTTCGACTATCACTCGCCAGTTTGTGGCGCCGATATCCGCGTGCACACAGATAACAACCTGAAATACGTCCTCGACTGCGTTACTGATGCCGCCACCATGAAGATGTGCTACGAGGCGATCGGAGCTTCATCGGGTGGCAGCTACATCGCGCTCGAGACTCTTGCTACCGCTGTCAAGTATACCAGAAGGGACATACGGGCCGATTGGTTCCTGGCCGACTGCATCATGGGTGATGGGGTTCACATGACGGGAACATATGGACGGCCTCCCTCGCCCGAGCACCGGCTGTTTGGCAAGCAACTGTTTGCAGTGGCTGAGAAGTGGCTACTGGAAGGGAGCGTTCGGAACCACCCTTTAGATGTACGGGAGGGTGGTCTAGAGGCTATACCGACGCTCGCGGATGATTTGAAACTTGGAAAAGTGCGTGGTAGGAAAGTTGTTGTGCCTTTGCTAGCGTAGGATTGAGATTTACATGACCAGGTAGATAATTAGTGGCTGCGATAGCTTCATAGAGACTCTCAATACTAGATGCGCAATTCTATTCTTTTAGATTCTATTGGACTCGTCGCTTTAGAATTACCAACTGAAATATTATACTCATTAGTAGTCACCTAGCTAATAATTACTACTTCGGACCAATTGTGAGTCCTTGAAAGTTCTCTCATCACCAACATCAAGATTCATAGTGCAGTTACTTAGTATCGGTGGAGAAGAAAGAAAAGTACTTAGAATACCTTTTTCGGAAAAGGTTAAGGACCAATAGAGCCAGGGGTCGGCGGTATGGGCAGGAGGGTGGTAAGATACGCGACGATATTGTGGGGTTATCATCGTTCGTCTAGGTATTTACCACATACGAAACTGTAAGGATTAAGAAATTTGTCAGCACAGTTATTTTTCCAATATATCCTGGCGGGACTTTTGACCTCCGGTCCGAGGTCGCGCCAGCCAGACTGAACCGGCTTCCGACTGACGTGCCAAGACTCCGGTCTGACAAGTCGCCGTCTTGCGCTCCGGCGCTGTGACCTCGAGATAGGATAGAGGGATTATGGAAAATAAACCAGGTGAGAAATTATATTGTATATTGCGCTTGTTTATCTTGGCCTAGTCGTGATGCGCTTGCGAACTCCATAATTCATTCCCTCCCTCGATTTCATTCTAGTTCCGTCTCTATCCCAATCTCGCTCACGATCTTGTAGAACAAGCGCCCCTAGAGAACAAGATGACGGTAAACACTTTACCTCGTGTCGACGCCGAGTTTAAGACTCTCGATGGTTTAACGTTGCGAGGGTGGTTATTCCCTACCGCTCAGCGCGGCCCCGGGATGATCATGTCGCCGGGAGTGCGTACTTTCTTCCTTATCCGCCTAGTCATTAGCACCAACTTGCGTGAAAGCGGGCATATAGGAGTTTTGAATCTCGTATGATTAACACCAGACAACAGTTTAACATGCCCAAAGACGCCATTCTGCCCGATATCGCGAAGTGGTTCCAGGAGCACGGCATTACTTGCTTCTTGTACGATCCTCGCGGCATCGGTGCTAGTGATGGAGAGCCTAGAAATTGTGTGAGTTCATTTTTCGTTATTCCTCTCGGTTTAATTCCTACTTTGACTGACATTACGTGTGTGTAGATTGATGCGCGACAGCAAACCGAACACTTACATGACGCCGTGACGTGGTTCAAGGAGAACCCCTTGGTCGATGAGGAGAAGATTGCACTCTGGGGTTTGTGCTTTGGAGGCAACGTCACTCTTGCTGCAGCTGCTTTTGAGTAAGTTCTTAACTCCTTTTTCCGTCTTGGTCCGTTGGCAGAGATACGAATGATGATGAATGACAGCAAGCGACTTGCCGCCGCCATTGCTGTTGCGCCGCTGATCGACTCTACCGGAAACCCGGAGCGCCGGCAGCCTATCCTTGAACTTGCGATGCACGACCGCGCTTGTCGACTGACGGATGGCGATGAGCCCATGTACTTGCCCTATGTGAACGAGGACGGCAGCATCCCGAACGGCTTGCAGCTCGCAGCAGAGATGATGCCAGCGCTACAGCGCCTGGGTATACCCGTCGAGAACCGCATCTCAGTGCAGACGTACTACCGGAGCCTGTCGTGGAACATTCTAAACGTCGTTCAGTACATCGCGCCAACGCCAGCCATGATGGTCACGCCTGAGCTTGATGTTTCTTGCCCGACCGAAGACCAGCTGGCTTGCTTTAAGGTCATGAAAGAGCCCAAGGAGCTGGATATCCTCAAGGGCAAAGGGCACTTGGATTGGGTGTTTGGAGATGTAGAGAGCATTTTGAGCCGGCAGTTAGACTTCTTGAAGAGGCACATGAAGTTCTAAGGCGATTATTCTGGGGCATATATACATAGGGGTATCAATACAGGTAAATAGCACTTACGGCTCAGATGGTGGCGATTTATAACTTTGTGATTCTTGTGTACACTGTAGAACATACCCTTGCTATTTATCCATGCGTCATACATTTCTATTTCACTGTATCTCACGTCACTTTTGTTACCACCCTATTGACGCGGAAATTCATGTGTATGTTAAGCAGCGAGCCACTAATTCCCTAGCTGCTCTGAAGCCCGTCGCACACATTCAGGGAGCAAAAAGATCTCGTATAAATAAATTCAATAGATTCAATAGTTCATTATGCAATACAAACGACCCCCATCAGGAATCGCATGGTAATTATCTGGGAAACTTTCTCTATCTATTGCCTGCCCAAGGGTGATCTAAATCAGCACATTTGGAGTGTCTTAACTTTTAGCTGCCATAATAGAATCGTGCACAAGTACAGTATAAGGACAAGCCGATGCTCTCACTATTGTCAATGACTTAGGCACTTATGACCTATGCCCCTAATCTCGCCTTTTATCTGAACTCACCGTTCTTCCAGCCCATGATTTCTGCCTCGCCCTCATAGGTCTGATAATAATGATTCATGATATCCTCCTTCGTACGTCCCTGTCTCAACTTCAGGGTGAGATCGAAGTCCTTCGGGTGTAAAGCTGTCCCCTGAACAAGCCCGGTTTCAACACTCAGATCTATCTCCTTGTTATCCGCTGAGCGTATTTCAAACGCCCAGAGCATCTTGGCCAGACCGAGAAGAAAGTTCTGCTTTGCAAGATACATTCCGGGACAGATCCTTCGCCCAGCGCCGAAGTCGTAATGCGGCCGCGCACCCCAGGCTTCCATGACAGCCGGGTCATGCGCCTTGTCCGTGCGCATTCCCAGTGGGTGACGTAAGTAGCGGTCAGGGTCGAACTTGTCTGGGTTCTCGTAGTCGTCCTCGTTATGGTGGATCTGCCAGGCATTCATAATGACAGTGGTACCCTTGGGAATCTGGTAGCCGTTGTAGACGTCGTCCTGGGTTGGGACGTGGGGAACCGCTTGAGGGGCGACGGGACGCCAGCGGTGGACCTGTTTTCAGGAATTCACTCGTTAGCAATGAAAATCGATTAGGTCTCTACGGAGAGGGGACAGACCTCATTCCAAACTGCCTCCAGGTATTTCATTTGTGGTATATCAGTAGCCATGGGTACTCCGCCTCCCGAAACCGTAAGTGCTTCATCCCTAATCTTTTTCTGTACCTCAGGGAACTTGACTAGAGTCATCAGCAGGGTCTGGAAATACGCGATCGGAGCACTCGTAGAAGTCGCCACGATGTGGAAAGCCGCGTTTCCCATGTCCCTCTCTGTAAACATGGTTTCTCCCTTCTCTCGCTTCTCCCTCAACATTCTCGCTAGCACGCTTTCCCACGCGATAGGCTTGCCCTCGTCCAGAGCCGCGCGCTGCTCTTTAGCAGCACTCAGGAACTGGTCTCCCACTGCGATCACCCCGTTTCGCACGGTCAGTGCTTTTTTCTTCCACTCTGACATGCCGAGAAAACTAGGAAGATAGCGCAAGAAAGGCAAGAGATCCTTTGCACTGGGGGCGAGAAGTGCCGCGTAAGCCTCGTTGCAGCTAGTGAAATGCTTGATCGAGAATCCGTGATCGTCCATGTAGTCTGGGCGTCTACCGCAAACACCAAGAGACGACACGCTGATCATCCAGCATACGAGCATGTCTTCAAACTGCTGGCCCCTCGCGCCCGGCGACTCGATCAACTTTACCAGGAGCCTAGCCGCTTCGGCCTCGAAGACTGGGCGGAGCCGTGTGATGACGGTAGGACCAAAGTTATTATTGAACTCCCTGCGCCAGCGCGTGTGATAGGCGGAGCTGTTGTAGAATAAGGCCGGCCGTAGGTCATGCTGAAAGACCCAGGTGTTCATGTATATCCATGGCCGGTCCGCGTACACGGCGCCGCGCTTCTCGAACAACTCATGAACGAGGCGGCCACTGTTTAGTACGACTACGTTGGCAGCGCCTCTCTTGATCCCTAAGGGAGTATCGACGCCATATTTCTTGGACCAGGAGCCGAAGGTGAGGAAAGGAAACGCCCTATCGAGCTGAAGGAGGTTTCCGACGCCAAGCGCGGGCTTTGGTCCTGGTGGAAAGGCTCTTGGCCTAAGGGTGTTGAGGACGAAGCTCACAGCATTGCTAATGACGTAGATTAGAATGAGGTACACTAAGATAGAGGGGGAGAGTGCGATCTCTGCCAAGGCTGCCATTTTTGTGACCAGAAACGCTGAGGTGCATACGACAGAGAATCAGGCCTCGATGTGTGCTTCTGACATGAGACGTCACTAGTTTTGGTCATGATACATAGCCTAATATAGTAGTAACCTATACAACCCTAATCTGAGGAGCTGTCGCTCGTTTCCGAGTGCTCTCATATCATCTTGAGAGACGCTGCCTTCACTCTCTGAGACCCTGAGACGGAACGTCGTCACTGGCTGTATGGCACCATGATCTTGGCGGCTCACTGCTGTGTGGGTTAGCCCGATGGTGTGTCAGAGTGGCAGTCGGCAGATTATTCGTAGGAATGGTCGGTATGACAATCGGAGGACCGGCCGGAGACGGTCATCGGAGTTTTGAACCAATAGGCACTTCAGCATCCCTCTAGTCGGTCTGTGCAGTCCAGGTTAGGGACTGGGGAACGAGACGAGCATACAGGGGAGACACCGTAAGAAGAGAAAGCTAAATTGAGACGGCAACGTAGATACTAGATTTATCTAACATGGGAGGCATTCGCTGGCGAGCGTGCCGAGCCTAAAACTCTGAGCACCATAGGAGCCACGTTAGGTACCCCTCACACTCAACATCGATCTTGTCAAAATGACTCTCATTCACATAGGTCAGTAAGCTGCGATCACAGAGCCCCTACTTATGACGCTTGTCCACTTCTGCTATCTATCAGTTGCTGCCAGCTGATCTTTTCGTGCCTTTATAGTCCTCTTCAGATTCCAGCCGTGGGTGACTCAAGAACAAGGCGAGGCATTTCTCCGCGAATGCAAGTCGCTCAAAAACTTGTCCTGCATTAAAGATGGACGCCTTTTCGTTGGCGGCCCAACACTGACGGACCCGATTGAACTGTCAAAAGGACTCAGATATGCCCTCGTAAGCTATCACGAAAACCTTGCTGCTCTCAATGAGTATCAGGTAGCCAAAGAAGCATCCCGGTACGTGGGAACACTACTCGTTGCCGCCTATCTCGCTTTTGCCGTCGTATTACGGCTAACTAATGATCTCCCCGGTGACAGTGATAGGTTGCCATATAAAGACGACCCTCTCGATTACGAAACGCTTTGCCGCTTTGATTTTGAGGTACCTCCTGAGGACGAGTACATGTGCGGATTCGGTCCTTTAGGCAAGATCTTAGGAAATTAGGTTAAACGGCCGTCAGGTGGAGGAGCGATGACAGATGACTATTTTATGTACTTAGTTCGCTTTTTTCATTTAGTCAAACAGTGATGCTAGAGTTTCTATAACGATTCTTCCGTAATGTACCTAGATGAACTAATGCAATACTGACTGCGCCAATTGTACTCCGCACGGGGTTGGTGGATATATATACACGAGATAGTCTATAGGATTCGTGACTAGTATACACGTGTCGGGCTTAGTTAAGCCAAGGGAGGATTGCAGATTGCAGTAGTCAGTCGGTCGGTTAACCTAGTGCAGTCAAGCTTGTCAAGCTTGTCAAGCTTTTACCAAGGCAGAGACCAAGAATGCGTCTAGACAAGGGTGGGCGGGTGGACGGGTGAGCGGCATGGACCGTAACCATTCTCGCAATTACTGCCCTACTCCCAGTAGATACCTTCTTTCTCACACTTCACAAGCCTGAAGGGGAATAGTGATGTTTGAGGCTCCCATCGTGACAAGAGCTACGCCAAGTCGAGCAGCAGGATTTGCCCATGTTTAGAAAGCCGCTTTAGCGAGATTGTATCTACTTACAGCCGGCATCTGTCTCGTCCAATCAGAGTATATCAATCCCTGTGCCGTGGTCAGATCTGTGCAAACGGGTAGATTCCAGCGCGGGCATTGTTAAGCGTTGGCCAAATCGGCCTAATAATCATGCCGACTCCCAAGACATTGTCACTCTGGTTTCTAAGTCCCTTTGTATAGTTTCGCCTGCTCAGCTCATTACTGCTTCATGCATACTCCAGCAAAATGCATGCCGTTAAATTATATGCGAGTCTGGGACTCGAGCTTGGATTTCATTTATTCTCTTCGTTCTGCTCGTAGTTGCAAACTCACGCTGTTTATACCATCCTTCATGTCGTATTTCTCGCTTTACTGTCGTTGCTAGGATCGATTGACCGACGCAACGCGCCTTTGTCTTCGCCATGGCCAGCACTCATAGCACTGATAATACCACCTCCGAAAAAAATGCTCAGATAGAGCGAGACCCGGATCTTGGAGCCGATACGGCGAAGGAGGTCCTCGGAGATACCGGCGCAAACGAGCCAACTTCTGTTGATGCTACTAAGCCCGCAGCAGACGCAGGTCCCCCGGATGGTGGACTTACCGCATGGCTGGTTGTTCTGGGCGGATGGTGCTGCTCATTCTCCAGCCCGGGCTGGGTCAATAGTACGTGTTTTGGCTATCCTATTGATCAATCCCCTGTAGTTGGGTAACGGCGATGATGAGCTGACTATTCTACGCTTGCGCCAGGTGTGGGCAGTTTCCAGCAGTACTACGAAGTCGGTCCTCTGAAGGATTATTCAAGCAGTGATATCTCGTGGATTGTCGCTTTGCAACTCTTCTTTCTGTTCGCTTTAGGTCCCGTAGTTGGCATACTATACGACAACTATGGACCAAGGCCTCTCATCATCGGCGGCACGCTCATCCACGTCGTCGGACTTATGCTTGCATCATTGGCTAAGGAGTACTACCAATTCATCTTGACCCAAGGAGTGGTGTCCGCCATAGGCGTTGCATGCATCTACTCACCCGGTAAGGCAAATCCGCTGTCCTCCTTATTTGATTACTCTGTGTAAATGCTCCATGCTAACTGGTATGATGAAGCAATCGCCTGCGTCGGTACCTGGTTTGCCAAGAAGCGCGGTATTGCTATGGGCATTATGGTGACAGGGTCATCTATCGGCGGCGTGGTTTTCCCCATCATGATTAGTCGCCTAGTTGATAGCGTTGGCTACCCTTGGGCCATCCGGTCTGCCGGCTTCCTCATCCTCGGCCTACAGATTGTCCCTATGATCACGGTTAAGTCGCGTGTTAAGCCGGTACCAAAGAAGATGCCCATGGGGCGTCTGGCGGCACCATTCACCGAATTCCGGTTCCTTCTATTACTGATCGGTATCTTCGTGCTAACATATGGTATTTTTATCCCCATCGTTTACCTGGCTGTGCAGGGCTTTCAGGAAGCGCACACATCAGAGCAACTGTCCCAATACCTCGTATCCATATTTAACGGCACAAGTCTCTTTGGCCGTCTGTTTGCCGGTTTTGGTGCCGACAAAGTAGGAATATGGAATGTCTTTATTATCGCCTGTGCTCTCTCGGGCATCACCGAACTAGCCCTCTGGATCCCGGCGAAGACGCCTTCGATCGCTATCGGGTTTGCTGTTCAATTCGGATTTGTATCGGGTGCCTTCATCGGGCTTGTCGGGGCGCTACCCATCCTCGTATCCCCTCCGGCCGAGATTGGATACCGGCTCGGCGTGGTGTTCCTCGCTGTTTCAATCCCAGCACTTACGGTGGCGCCTATCGGTGGTGCTATTGTGGGAAGCTCGGCTAACCCGTGGTTGAGTGTGAAGCTCTTTGCCGGCATATTATCTATCGCGGGATCGGCTATCATTTTCGGATCGAGATTACTCTACACGGACAAGAAATTTTGGAAGAAGTTCTAGACGTAATACAACTACCGGAATAGATAAAATTACAGCGAGATAGAGACACACCAAGATGGCGGATATGGTAACCTCGGTTGAAGACAAATGCTACAGATAGAGGATGAATACAACTTAGTGTAGAATTGGACTAAAGGGATGATAGCAGGAACTAGATACATTGTAATTAAACATATAATTCGTAGCTCAATATTGATAGTGTACAACAAGAGTTAACTGAGAGCTTGAGTCAATTTACAGCACCACCCATCAAGGGACTAATTGCCGTTGATAGGCTAGCTTAAATTAACGCATGTGTTGGCAATGAGAAATTTTTATCCGGTCGGTGCACACTCAGAGGGACTCATTGCCAGTGCGTTATCGGACTTTTGCGAACTCTTGCCGGATTCCACGTGTGACATACCATGATCTGTAATTCGGCATCATCCTGCCGTAGATTAAGGCGCCACTAGCCTCGAAGGATGTGTATACACGATGAGCTCGTTTCCAGGTTTCCAGGTTTCCGTGACCCCATAGCCAGGCGCGACCACCTATCACAAGTATAGAAAAAGGTCCCACTTCTCTGGTTCGACTAAGATAAATCAATACACGAACCGTCTCACCTATTGCAAAGGAACATCGCTAAGTGAGGGTTGCGATAGCTTCATGCGGTGCAGGGTTCGTTTAGCGATAGCGACAATAGGCATCTTATACCTAGATGACTCAGATAGGGAAAGGCGCCCAGGATCCCGAACACACGAGCCTTGCTTACTAGGGATTTCATATTAGCTTGAGCCTGCAGGGACCTAACGTGGCACAAACCGATGATCCCATGCTGTGATCAGATGCGTCCAAAGTGTATAATAATTATATAATCTCCCAGAAAGCTCAGACCCGCATATAGGACCATGTGACGTGCTCTCATCAGAAAAGGCCACCTACCTATTATTACTTAACGCCGTCTAAAAAGGGAAAACCATGATGCTTGTTTTTGTGTTACGTTAGGAGACCTATTGACCTTTGAGTGGTGCTGTGCCTCGAATCTAACAATGTCCAGAATAGGAATTGTTCCTCCCGTTCCATGACAACAGTAAGCTCATAAGAAATGGGTATGAAATATGAGGTTCCTAAGGGTATAGATTGACTATATGTTTCTCTTCTGATTGTATCTGTTGATGTGCCTGATGGAAAACGACTAGCTGGCGCATTCTGTATATTTAGTAATTCTGTACATAATATTCTTATCTATAGTCACTCAAGACCACGACTCTCCGCATTATGTGGTGAGAGGATGGTGTCGCCAAGTGCAAAGGCGCGCCATGCCGGCAACGTTCAGGATAAGCTTTGCTTATAAGCTTAGCTTATCACTTCATTCCGGCGCCACATCTGCAGCCACGCTTAGAACCTCCCCTGTTAAGTAAGGGCCTCCGCCGAGGATGTCAACTGAGGGACTGGGGTGACCCGGAGATCGATCCTCTCCGATCTCCGCATTTTCAAACGGCATCAGCAGTGCTTCGGCGATTTAATGCGTACTCGCAGACAGAGAGAACGTTACACGGTCCTGCTCAGTGTCCACCACAACTACCACGTAATTACCATATTGTCAGCTTATCTGTACGCTCACGTAAACCCATATTAGTACCGTTCTTTTCTAGACTCATCTAGACCACCTCGAAGATTGTTCCTGTTGGACCCTGCTGTGATAGCAAGAGCTAGGTATTGCTGCTGCATGGTGATGCGGACAATCCTACCAGAATCCTACCTAGTTGTGGGCTTGTAACAATCGACCTTGTTGGGCCATTCTTGGCAAGTGAAATAGTCCTGCATTCATTGTCCTCGCCACTCAGTTGCATATATCCTGGCGATGCTTACCGCCAAGGCGGGCGCAAGGTGAGTCGTATGTTGCGAGTCACGTGTCATGCTGTTAGCTCATTCGATGCGGATGTCGAATCCTCATTATTTGGCAACGGTATGAAACCGAAAAGGCTCTATCAAACGCCGACGGACGCAGAGCTGGAATCCCTGTGCAACTAGCGGTACGCTAGAACCAACAAGGCTGCGGATCGTGGTTTCGCGGTCCCTCTGATAGAAAATATTATTCCAAAGAGTGGCTGCCTAGGCTCGAATAATAAATAGCGTGTTATCCCAAATTGGACATAGGACATAGCAACTACGCCGTAGAAGCACGCCTTTCCCGTTGCCGAATGCTTGCTGCTTGCTGAGCCACGATTATGTGCTCTTGGCGCCTCAGGAGTATATGGATATAAGTCCTGCCATGGCTGCTAGTCGAGATCTGGCCATAGAAGATCACCGCTAACGCGGATGTTGGTAGCTCAGCGTTCAACTACCCCGTGGGAAAAGGGAACTGTCCAACATTTACGATGAAACAAGGATATGGAAATGTCACATCGTCAATCGTGTGACCGCTGCCGCCAGCAAAAGGTGAGATGTCGTCGAGATGAAAGCCAGAGGTGGAGCAACAACGCTTCCTCAGCCGAACAAGGCCCGCCTTCTCGGTGCGAAAGATGCACAAAGGCGGCCGTAGAATGCGTTTACAGCTGTACGTATTCATCTCCATGTTCACATCATATATCCAAACCCATCTTCTATCAGGGAGGAGTCCCCAGAGATGTTGAACAATATCAAGTTCAAGTTCAACTAGCTGATCAAGTTCTCTCACGATAGTGAAACAGCGATCAAAGAGCCGGATCTCTCATCATCATCACCAAGCCTCAATTACATCACAGGCCGGGCGACACACCGACCTCAGGCCCAGGAGCAACAGTTCATGGGTGGAGCAAGGCATTCGTGGACCATCCTACCCCGGGGGGCCGTTGATGAGTCCCGATATGTCAGTGGGAGATGCCCTAGGCCAATTCCCCTTCGACGAGAGCGACATCTTCCATAGTTGGGATGCGGATCTCCAAGGGTTCGCGTCGTCCTCGTTGAACTCTTTATTAGCACCGTCCGCCTCGGACGCGGCGCTGGTGATGCCTATCTCCACTGCCCCATCTTCCCACGGCGAAGAAGATGATAGTGAATACGAGGACGAGGAAGATGTGAGCGACTCTCCGTTTTCACAGTTGATCGCTCTTAGCGACCGAGTGACTCGCTCCATGCGATGTCTAGCCCGACCCGGCCGCGCGCCCTTGACCGCGTCGTCACCCGAAATCAACGGAGCGTTAGAGGACACGAATATCTTGATTCGCATCATCAGCGGCCTCACGGCATCGAGAGCGTGTGAAGATAGCCAGAATTATGGGCTTGTCTTTTCCGCCCTCGCCTGCCACCAGCACCTCATGGCGCTATTTCGGGTCATATGCGATGTCATTCATCGGAGCGTGCAGGCCAAAAGAGAGCAACAGAAGCAGCAGCATGGGAGTCGGACAGACATGGGCCCGTCGTCGGTAGCGCAATTCGTAATGGTGCTACAGCTGCTAACGCATCTGATCAATCGCATGGATCGAAGTCTGTTTCGCGGCGGTCCCGTCGTCGCAAGGGGCTCTGTCGGCGGCTATGTCACGCCCACTACGCCCGACGGTGGGGATAATCATACCGTGACCTTCGGGACTAGCATGGATTGTGAACGCTCATCATCGCCCGATGGGCTTCTTGTACGGGTGCATGAAATTGTGGGAAAGATACCGAGCGAGCATGATAAATTGAGACAGGCTATTCGGAAGCTACAGACAGACATGGAGCATCCCGAGCTTCATTAGCAGGCAGAAACGAAGGGTTCTAGGTTATATATTACGTACTGTAGAACTAGATTACATAATTCCAGGTTAGCCGCTAGCAAAAGGCCTCATACTAGCTATGCAACCCGCTTTCGTGATGTTACATCTGTATCTTCCATGCTACCAAAGGGGTGCTGCTTCTGATGTCGATCTCGCTTGGAGAACCCTGTATTATGCCGGTACATGAGTTGGAGATGATTTTATGCTGCCAATTATGCGGCCGTCGTCATATCATGGATCGGGAACCATAAATGAAGCCCCTATGGTAGGGCAGATCCGAATATTCCGGGTTTGCCACAGTGAATTATTTCCGTTCCATCTCCATCGACATCCAAGCGACTCAATTGGTTCTTATTGATAACAGACATATTAATACTAGCCGTCTTAATATTCATCACTCGATCTAGCTTGAGAGTAAGTAACGTAGTTCTAATAATTATTCGCATTTCTACCTTGCCATCAATCTAATAGTACGATTGCCTGTCGTTTGGTAACTGTATCTCACGACATATAAGGTTGGATCAGTTGTCATGGCTCTTCAAGAGCGCTGCAGACTACGACACTAGACGATCAGGATACATATTAAGGCCCAACCACAGCATAAACCTGATTGGACCGTTAACGGCGATGATTAATCATACCGTCGTTTGTCGGCTACCAGACCAGCAGTAGCCAGTATGTACCTGCAGACTACGATCAAGCAATGCCCCTGCTGTGTTGCAGTTCCTGAGTGGCCAGTCCATTTATACACTCGGTCGCCAGAGGCCAACAGGACTTCTCCCATGTTCTCCGCCCTGGGTCGTGGTATCGCAGGCGGATCACACTACCACATGCTCATTGCTACTCTAGATCCTATACTGCGGCGCGCTAACTCGAATCAACCGTACCGAGTCGCTTGCCCATGTAGGTAATGCCTAGGAGGTATAGGGCTGCATATTCTCGCATGAACAATGAGGAGACAGGATGTTGGGGGAGGAGTTGGTAGCTCCAAATGTCTTTTATTAAAGCTCAACCACATGTTATCAAGAAGAAAAACTAGGAAAGAGAGAGAGAGCACCTTGTCTCGCTTGGTACGCTCAGTTTTGATGAGGTACATAAGAGTTGCTAATGATGCAGTGTAATTATCCAAAAAGAAATTCTGTTATAAGCTCTTCGATTACGATATACGGAGTGTATAACGAAAATATTGCATGTAGCCAGCATAGCTCGTAAATGGGAAGTCATTACGTTGCTTCCGTATTTTGGGTGCACACTACATTTTCTCTCACAATTGTGTTACAAGCATCTCGAACGCTAGAAAATCACCCCTTAAACTTCGTTTTTGTATCTCTCCCCTCTCCAATCTTCTAGAATGGACACAATCTCGTCACATTTAGCCTCCCTAGCGCATGCTATAGCATCCATTCCTGAGCATGTGCTCCTTATAGTAGGGTCGGCACCTTTCTTGAGCAACCATCGTACAACTTGTGCCCCTTTACTGCATCGCGCAGCATAACAGATTGGTGTTCCCCAGTATATATCGGTGCCACCCTTGGGACAGACATCGGTGTCTATTGCATTTACACTCATCTGACGCTTAATAACGAGGTAGTGTAACATCTCGACACTTCTATCGTGTCTGTCTTGAGGTTGTTGTGAAAGGTCAGAGTCGGGATCGACACCTCTTCCAGCAGCTACCTCAACTGCGACATGCAGCATTCGTGAGGTGGGATTTGCGCCCTCCCGCTCAAGGAATGTGAGCATAGATACGGTTCCAAACGCCGCACAGGTCTCAAGTAGTGGTGTTCGCATTACGTCCCTATCACTAGGAGGACATGAACCTCTGCTAGTGACAGTTGCTCCCTTCTCCTGGACTAGCCAGCGCGCTAAGTCTTCTTTTCCATATCGCTCTCGAACGAAGTAGTCCAGAAGACGCTTGCCATTGAAAGCAGGGGGGTCCATGGCGTCCACATCCCATCCACGGCTGGTAAGTGCATCGATGAGAGATTTTGAAGCCCACTGGAAAATAGAGTTGGGGGTTACCATCGTTATGGGTATTCGTTCATAGTCGAGCATGTACAATAAAAGATCCATCGAGTTGTAGCTTAAGATATCGCGGAATACCTCTTCACGGAACTGAGCATATTCGTCGTCGTCGAAAAAGTCACGCGCAAGAGCCAGAGACTTTTGAAGGTCAGGTATCGAGTTGCTTTCAATGGCGGATGCGCTTGTAGTATAGGCGTTACGGTCGGTGGTCCAATCATTGCCACCAGAATCTTGACCCTCATTTTCCATCGTTGGCGGCATTTGTCTCTGCCTTCTTTGTTGTTATGGTGTCAACGACGCGTACGAGTGCCTTTCCTGCCATCAATCTTACAGTTGGGGTTATCGAGTGAGGCTCAAGCCACCAATCAAGATGACGTCACCTCAAATATGATTTTAGTCGGAGCATTCATGCCAGGTCGTCGTCGGGCGATGGCACAATGTCGCAGTTTTAAGTCACAGCACCAAATGAAAATCTTGATCCTTCCAATATCTCATTACGCCCCAGACGTCGTTTAAGTTTCAAAAATGAATGTGCCTTGCCTCAACAATCAAATTTTACGCAGTAGGTCACAGATCCTTCAGCGCCATTTGGGGGCCACGTTTCGACACGCATCTTAGGATCTGTGATCGACAGGGCTCTAAGAGTTGGGTCGGCCCGTAAAACCTAAAGATGGTGATTGGGCAACATCGATACAACTGTTTTACTTATGCTGAAACTAGTAGACACGCAGAGATATTATTTGTGGCTCGGATAATGTCATGCTGAGCGGGCAGACACTTCAGTAGGATTATAACAGTGAACTGGACTAGGGTATCTCCCTAGAAGTTGAAATACTTCCGTGATACCAGAGTTGTATCCCATTTGACTTGTTAAATCATTGTATATGAATTATGGTAACAACACAAAATCCAAGTAGGAATTGCAGTCGAGGACATCTAAGCTATGATCCTTCGTAGTTCTCATGTACATCGTTGGCTATTCGCCCCCAACCTATGCGTTTCGTAGTACGCCTAGCTGAACCGGCGAGATTAGGTAGGGTGAACGATGATCCCTATGTCCGTTGATAAAGGGGAAATGGTGAGGCTATGTACGAGATCAGACTCGAAAAGCTCTCCCGAATTGAAAATTATTATAAGTTCATGAAGATTTCTTTGGAAATTCATCTTGTTCTCCGTTCTCCAGATCTTTTCCCTGTTACCCAACACACCATTGAAAAACGTAATTTGAAGTGTGGTGGTGTAGCCATGACCAAGATGAATTCTTGGAAACTAATTGCCCTGCTTTTGATGCAGGGTAATGCTGAAGCATCGTCACCTCGGTATCCGGTTGCCCCTAAGCATTTGAAATTGGGGCTGCTGCCTCGAGCATTCAATACGACAGGAACCTTCGTTGTGGTGAGCTTTTGGCGCTTAGTTCTATTCTTCAAGGAAGACATTGACTTTTAAATTATTGAATAGCCTACCAGCTTCTCAACTCCACCAATCGAGAGTTCCAGTTCATCCGTCACAGGAACTTCAGTCTCGCTCACGTCTTCTGTTTCTATCACCTCTTCAAACTCGTCAACCCCTTCAGTCTCGTCAACATTCATATCATCAGACACCACAAGCGGAAGTACTAGTAAGCAGAGCCTCATTAATATACGATAAATATAATTAGACAGTGAATGTTCCCCAATATTTCTATCATATCTAATAGACATTTCTTAATAAAATAGACCATCAATCGAGTCAACCTAGCACTTCCCAATCTTCAAGTGAGGAGTTCTCAATTACACCTGTTACAAGCTTCCCAGCGTATACGGCACCCACATCGACTATCTCCGGGGCGTCTGAGACATCCAGTGCAGCGGCTATAGCGCCGCTTTTCATTGCGGTTTGGCAGAACAGAGGGAATCTCTTAGATTCTCAGGAAAAGAGCCAATATATAAACGATGTCACTGAGACAAAAAATCAGGTATGCTTACTCATTGAACAACCCGATACGAACATGAACAGTGCAACGTAAGAACGTAGCATTGCTTGTATATATACATGAGGGCATAGTTGAACTCTTATCACCATCTAGCCATCTGTTCGTGCTAACTACAGTTAACAGGTCGATTCACTTAACAACAATCTGTCCGACAAGTCAGATCCTCCGAGCGAATGTTCCAGTACTAGCGGAGATGGCAGCCTGATTGCCGGTATTAAGAACTTACTAACAACACCCGCTAAACTCATCGGTTGCGCTGCAGCTGTCGCCAGTAATCTGGTTGATGCGATCAGCAAACCTGATCCTGTAATCTCAGTTGTCGAGGTTTTGACCGACACCCTCATGGATATTGGTAGCGAACTTGAGAAAAGCCAAGATGAACATCCTACCTCCTCCAGAGACCAGATAACTAGCACTAGTCAATCGAGTATGAGCACGGAGACAACTTCTTCGAGCGAGTGTTCAACAACGACGGCCGCAAGCTGCGTTGAAACTGTCTCATTGTCGACGTTATTCTATACGGATAGTACAACTACCACCTCACAGGTGGAGACGATAACCACTACCCTGTGCACTACCATTACCGCATCATGCGTGGTGGGAACCACTGCCACCACAACCGTTTCAACTGCCACGACCTCGTCAGGAACGGGTTGGATATGTGACCAGTTAGTTCCCTACAGTCATTTATTTCCTGTTTGGCGGGTTCCAGCACTGATTTGCCATGCCGTACTCCCAAAACTTGAGCAGAACCCATATGGTCTTTGATAATTACTAACTACTGTGTATGAACAGAACTTGTGCGGCGGGTGGTTGTCAAGCTCATAAAAGAGCAGCACAAGCCACGGGGATCGCAGACCCTGGAGCAGACGCTCCAAATTTGGCAAATCGAAACCTGAAACCAACTTCAATGATTTCAGATATTGACAAGTACATCATACAAACTATCTCTGCCTCGAATTCCGAGAACCTGGATTGGTCTAAAGGAATAGCTGTTGCCAAGTACTACAAGTTCTTGAAAAAGGGTATAGCCGGATACGTTGCAGGTGTCACAGGGTATGCTTCCTGAAAGTTTCCTGGGCCATCGGGCCAAAACAGGCCTCATGGCTGTTTTGTCCTCGTATGATTTCACCTCCACGTACTTCACTAACTGGACCACGTATTCTAGATGTACCTCGATTGTCATCGCGTCTCAGAAAGGTGCTTGGATCTCGCATTTCACAGAAACGGGGCTGATGGATGATGCTGGCCGCCAGAAGCAGAGAGACTCGCTGGCAGACGCTGTCGCGAATGGCAATGACTATTACAAAAGGCCGTCGGATCTAGCCGGAGAAGGAGGCGATCTCAACAAGGACACGCAAGACGTGCAAATCTACGTCTCGGCGCCGTGCACCACCGTGACGGATGAAAGTGGGAATAGAGCCTGCACAGGGGACTCCTCGTTTGAATATCCGAGGATAGACGCGCTTTTAGACACGCTTTTCGGGGCAGGGACGCCGTTCGAGGGTGTTCCGATTACGAGGCGGGGGTATCTCAAGCCCGCTGGTAGAGATGAAGTTGACGCACTAGCAGACACGTCAGCAAGGGGTAAAGGTACGTTGTATTACTTTTGTATTAACTTCTACAATTGCATTCTGCCTTGCTAACTTTGAGAATGACAACAGTTGTCGTTCAATACGACCCCAATCAACTCACCCCAGAGTTCCTCCCATTCAACCCCAAACACGCCGCATATCGCGTTTGGATGGAATCAACACCATACCAGAAAGACTGGGTTGCCTCCACCTGCCAAGGGGGCAACGCTCCTAACCAGAAGCGCGACGACTCGTGCCCCATTTCTGGGAGCGGTAGCCCTACGCCCACTCCTACAACGGCAGATACCTCGGGTATACCTACGACATCGGATATAGCTACGTCGATGAATACATCTACCCCGATAATCTCTTCAACAGCGGTCCTCACTTCAAGCCCATCACTGACCCCTTCGGTATCCTTTGTGAACACGACCATGGTGACGATGACGTTGAGCCCATCGAGTAACGCGTCGAGCACCAGTCTTTCGACGTCTGGCGTTGAAACGAGTGATTCTGGGATCGGGCCTACGTTTATGTCTACAGTGACGTTTTCGTCGCTCACGGCTACACTTATTGCGTAGAGTGATGTCCAAAGTGGTGGATATGCTGCTGTATCGTGCTTCTTGGAGACGAATGTCGTTTAAGGTGTATTGGCCATTCTATGGAATTTTCATCTGATATTAGCGTGTGGAATAAGGCATAGGCTGTTCAATTGCCTCAATGATTCAACGAATTCTACTGTCGTAGGCGGAGTATAGTGTGCGGTTATTTTGCTGTCACATGAGTATATCGATGGTCCTCTAAGCCAGCAAACATGCTCTCGCTTGTCTTTCTTTCTTTCCTTTTTTTTTTTTTTTTTTTTTTTTTTTTTTTTTTTCCGGTGCTGTTCTGGGGGCGTATCAATTTCAATGGTTATTCTATCCCATCATTTTGATTGTTATTTTGAACTAGTTATGTCATAGGACATAGAGAGAGAGAGAGAGAGATGAAGACATAGTGCGATATCATCGAGACTCGCTTAAGGAGAGCAATAAATGACGGGCCTTCTTTAATTGGTGCATCTTACCCTAGAGGCGGAACTTTATAGATACAAATTTAGTTGAGCGTGTGAATACGTCTTAACTCGATATCTACCCTGATAACTTTCACTTTTAGGCCAATTTGTTACATCTGAAGTGAATGTTGCATTATTGGAAGCTTTCTCTAACCCCTTCCACTGTGGTCCGTGCGGTTGATGGAGGCCGCCTGTACGGAGTACCGTGTCGTAAATAGTTCCTCGCAACCAATAGGAGTAGGTAGCCATTGTAGCTAAGTGGCCGTGTAAGCAGTCCTTGGGGTAGAGAAGTGTCGAGGGGGTGATTCTGTGAAATGTGGTGCGCAGACATGTGCTACTATACAGATCAAATAGAAAAAAAAAAAAGAGTGCCGCCCCGGATAGAATTGACCCGACTCGTCACATGCGGTGTAGGTAGCTTGAGGTCATGCGAGCGATGCGACATGAACGGCGCCGTTTGTAGCAGTATCGGAGGCCTGCCTACACGCAGAAATCTGTAGTGTATCTGACTGAGCGGCTAGTCCCCGGCGATTACATCATCGGCCCTTTTCGTGCCATCTTCAACACGAACAGTTCTACGATACTTATGCTACACTACTCCTTGGTATCTACGCTATATCTAAGTATCTAGTTACTATTCCTGGGAATCGTTGGTTCCGAGTGTGTGTAATGCAGCCCTCTCCACCTTAACCGGGTGCACCCATCTTGAAACACTGGCAGATGCTTTCGGAAGGCGTCAATGCATGGGATGTTCCAGCGCCGGCAACAATCTCCAACGACATGTCTATACATAGTATATATAGTATATATCACGACGGATGTGTGCATTCTCTGAGCGTACCAAGACGGGATACCTACATTGCCGTCATCGAGCGAACATGAATTTGTACACTAAAGCAACGCCTCGTATTTGATGGGCCTGTGATGGGGAAAGACCCTTGATCTTGTCACCACTTAGGGCTAGCAGCTGGGGATAGTGTGCTTAGCAGACAGACGCCAAGACAGGTCCAACGTGGGCTAAGCCTCGAACATGCCGTCCCCAGATAAACATGTCCATGTGTATTATGTATGTACCTAGTTGATATTGGAATATCTTTCTTGGAGTTGAGCGGCTTCGTTGGTAGAAGAAAGGCGGCAATAGACGAATATGAAGAGAGATAGAAGAGAAATAAATAGCTCTATGTAAAAAATGAGACTCTACAGGGAAAGTTTCATAGGTAGTATTGTTTGCTCGTACCGATGGACATGAAGAGAACCTTGGAAGATAATGAGGATCACAACGGCTCGGGTTAGCTGACTACTATGTAGTACTCGGTACTCGGTACCTAGATATCCCCGGCGCCGCTGAGTTGGCATCCATCGAACAACCATAACACCATGGCCGAATATGAAATAATCCAGACACGGTGACAGCGGTGACAGTTGGTAGGATTCTTCCTTTCGAGGCCAATGTTTCAATGCGGCCAAACAACTTGCCTCATCAAGCAAAGTGGCTTTTATGCTAGATGTCGATTGATGTCAGGTACCTACCTCCTACCCGCCGTACATTTGAATGTCTGCAGGTACAGATAACCTTAGTTCTCTGACTTTAAGTACCTACTGTAGTTTGTAGGGTACGGTAGTTTGTTTTCCCCTGATGTACTATGTTAGTAGATAGCCCGGTCCAGCCCAATCAGCACTGGCAGAAATTTTCTGCCTGTTCTCGACGTGGCCTGGCTTGCTAGGCTCGCTAGGCCAGTCCAGAGTCAGGCCCTGGAAGGTCCCTGGAAGGTCCCTGGCGCTGTCGCTGGAGTGAGTGGATGCAACGTCCCCGCTGATCATTCCAATAACCATCCCCTGTATCTGCCCTGTATCTGCCCTGTAAGTATGTACATGCTGCCGACACGTCCCCGGCACCTAAACAACAAGTACCCGCTACTGTCATGGTGTAGTGCAGATCTTGGGAATCTTGGGGATCTATCTCACAGTCTATTTTCCTCCTTCTACGCCTCCCTCATCCTCTCGTTAATTGCCTGTCGTCGTCGTCGGCTTCGCTCCGTCGTTGCATCCAAGCCCCAACCGGCCTCTGCGTTTACCTTGTTCCCTTTCTCACACTCGTTTGGTCCCTCTGACCACGTTACTTGCCGTCTCCGTCCTCCTCTCCGTCCTCCTTTAACCCGGCCCTGATTCCCTACACGCGAGCATAGCATAGCGACACCACCTCCGATCATCCGCTGACCCCTTTCGACACCTCATCGACACGTTTGCTTGGTTCCTGGTAGCCGCAGTAGATATCGAGTTCGGCACATCAATCCCCAGGGCTCACGCCCTACGCTTTGCTTTGTCCATACAAGATCCATTCCTCTCTGCTCACGGCCGATTGGGGCTTTGGCGACCAGCTCCCTTGCATCCTTGTCGAACCATCCCCTAATATACAAACGAGTCACAACAAACTTGGAACAACCTAAGAAATATCGCCAACTTCCAGAGATTGTTCTGTCCGAGTTTTTAGGCATGGTGCAATTCAACCCGGCGCTTCAAAATTGCCATTGCTGAACCGAGCGCTTTCACCGTCACACGGATTGCTCGATCCTCTTTATCTCCCTCGTAATCTACCAAACAAACACGTCGTTACACCCGAGACGGGTTTTCCTCAGAGACTACTATGGATGCCCCCAAATCAGCAGCTGATGAGCTGTTGGACCTGTTAAAGAACCCATTTAAGCAGCCCGTAAGGATCATCTCGAAGCAACCCTTTTACCAAGAGGAAATGATATACTCACATGTTGAATAGTTATCGGATGGCGCCATTTGGTCTGCTCTCGGTACCTCGGTGGGTATCACCGCCGTTACCGCTATAATATTCTCCTTCGTTCGGCCTTATAATACCGTCATCTATGCTCCCAAATTGAAGCATGCTGATGAGAAACATGCGCCTCCTCCCCTGGGAAAGGGCTTCTTTGCCTGGGTCATGCCTTTGTGGCGCACTACAGAGAAAGACCTAGTCTCGCACGCCGGTATGGATGCCGCCGTCTTCCTTCGGGTTATGCAGATGTGCAGAAACATATTTCTCGTGCTCTCTGTACTCGGGACTGCGATACTTCTGCCCATATATTGGGAACTCAACTCAGACAAGACTGACCAGCAGAGGTGGACTCTGAGATTTACGCCTGCGAATGTGTGGGGGGAACCAATCTGGGCGCTCGTTGTCATTGGATACTCGTTCAATATAACTATCTGCGGCTTCTTGTGGTGGAATTACAGGCAAATATACAAGCTGCGACGTCTTTATTTTGAGAGCGAGGAGTATCAGCAGAGCCTCTCCGCGAGAACTCTGATGGTAAGCTGACATCAGTTCGTAGGTGAAGCTATGACTAACGAGGTGATAGTTGAATGACATCCCCAAGAATATGGCCTCAGATGAAGGCGTTGCGAGGATCATTGACAGCATGGTACCCCAGTCCTCTTTCTCTAGAACTGTTATTGCGCGCAATGTAAAGCTCATCCCTAGTTTGATCGCGCAACATGACCATACAGTTCGCAAACTAGAAAAGGTTCTAGCCAAGTATCTAAGAGATCCACAAAATCTTCCTCCCAGTCGACCACAGTGCTACCCTTCAAAGAAGGATCCATCTTATGGGACCTACCCTAAAGGTCAAAAGATTGATGCCATCGATTACTTAACACAGCGCATTAGAGAACTGGAACTGGAGATCAAGGAGGTCCGTAGCACACTTGACAGGCGCAATACCTACTCCTATGGATTCGCCAGTTATGACGATATCTCCGAAGCCCATGCCATTGCGTACACCTTGCGCAAGAAGAAACCTCAAGGTGCCACTGTTGTTCTTGCTCCTAAACCTAACGACATTATCTGGGACAACATGAACCTCAGTCCATCTACCCGAAGCTGGCGCCGGTTTGTAAACAACCTCTGGATTATTCTCCTCACCTTTTTATGGATCGCTCCGAACGCCCTGATTGCTATCTTTGTGTCAAATCTGACAAACTTGGGCCTGGTGTGGGACGGGTTCCAAAAGCAGTTGTCTACCAATACGGCGTTCTGGGCGATTGTGCAGGGTGTCGCATCCCCAGCTCTTACTTCGTTAATCTATCTCGTTCTTCCGATCATCTTCCGCCGTCTTTCGATTAGGGCTGGCGATCGTACAAAAACAGGCCGTGATCGCCATGTCGTCGCTAAACTATACGCGTTCTTCATTTTCAACAACCTAGTCGTTTTCTCGCTATTCAATGCAGTGTGGAGCTTTGTCATAACAGTCATCGACACAACTCAAAGTGGATCAGATATTGGGAGTGCGATCCTGAATAGCCAGTTTTTCGAGACATTGTTTATTTCTCTTTGCAATACTTCCCTGTTCTGGGTCACATGGCTATTGCAAAGAAATTTGGGTGCTGCTATAGATCTGGCACAACTCTGGCCCTTGATCTACAGCTTTTTCATGCGCAAGTTTTCAAGTCCTACACCGAGAGAGATGATCGAGCTCACGGCTCCTCCTACGTTCGATTATGCCAGTTATTATAATTTTTTCCTATTTTACTCTACTGTCGCCTTGTGTTTCGGTGGTCTTCAGCCGTTGGTGCTTCCAGCTGCTGCGCTCTATTTCTCGATTGACGTCTGGCTAAAGAAATACCTCCTTCTCTATATTTTCATCACGAAAAACGAATCTGGTGGTATGTTCTGGCGTGTCATATATAACCGCTTCGTTTTCGGCACCATTCTAGCGAACTTGGTCATCTTTCTGGCCGTATTTCAACGGGGTGATGGTCAGCATATCCAGGCGTATGCGGTTGTTCCTCTGCCATTCCTCATGGTTCTTTTCAAGATATTCTGCGCCCGAGCCTACGACGCCAAGATACATTTCTATTCAACCCAGTCTATTACCAGGAACACCAACCCCAATGCTCTGAAGGACCCCTTGAGATCTAGCACTAATCTCGCTGCACGATTCGGCCACCCAGCGCTGTACAGGAATCTTATTACCCCAATGGTACATGCGAAGGCGCAGAACCTTTTAGCTTCAATCTATAAGGGCCGACTGTCGGATGGGCGTACTGCTGATTCAGGTGACACCATGTCCACTTCTGGCTATTCAGACGCATACGCTATGAAACCTATGAATTCGTCTAGGCCGGGCAAATCTGCGGGTGTTCCTGGATTTGAAATTGTGCCAGAGTCGCGTCTCGATTTTGAATATTATAAAAACCGGTCAGAGTTCGCCGCGGAGCATGGTGCTGGAGATCTTTTCGGTCGTTCAAATGATATAATGCGCCCTGATACGCCGGGAAGTATGTGGAATGGCAGCGAACCCAATTCTCGCTCGGCAAGTCCCGCACCTCCAGTTCCTCGCATACCGAGCCCTGGTCCGAGTCGCATCCTATCCCCAGCTTCAGATGGTGGAATGACTTATCCGTCCGGGTATATACATCCAATGGGAAGCCCCTACACACCACCTATTGACGTTGGGCAAGCGCGAAGCCCACTGTATTCACAAGGGAATGATAGCAATTCCAACCTAATGAGCAACGCAGCGCCCATGCCGGTAGCCAGTGCGCCTGGGTTCAGAGAACGTAGCGTGGAGCGACTGGGCAGGACGCCTGGCGGTGTTGGGATGCTTGGCGGCGGTCCGCAAGGCTACGGTGGTTTACCTCAAGAGGAAATCGCTTCTCCCGAGCATGATCCTATGCAGTACAACTATTTCCGAGAGGCGCGAAGGCCGAGGCGCGATCACTCACAAGGATGGTAATTTTTTTTGCCTCAAGAATTCCTCCAAATGTATATAAAACGCGTTGTGTATTTTTGATGGCATGAATATGGGATGCGGTGGGTTAGTAGCAGGCGTTTTCTGGCGTTTTCTGAATTCTGTCTGTCTATCTGGTTTTTTTATGGCAGGCCATTGACAGACATGGTGTTTCATTTTCTTGTCACCTGGATGAAAAGATCAGAAGCATTTGGAGAGCGAGAAAGACAGATGCATGAGGTTGAAACTGATGAACGACGAGCATAGAAATCGCGTGGTGTGTAGTCTGACGCCCGATCGATTGTAAAGCATTATGCATCATATCATGTATTGAATTACTTAGAACCTTCTTAATAATATAGTATCCTCAGGGAAAGGCACTTGGGTGCCTTTGTCCCTGGGGTTATATGTTTCTTCACGCTAGATAAATGAGTTTGAATAATTATGTTTTCTGGGTTTGGGGGAGGGATTGGTGAGATGAGGGGAGATATTGGCGATGATGTGCAACATGTGCTGCGCGAGATGATCGCTGCCAAGGCGTTCACGTGCCGAGGAACTTGACGCCATTGGTAGGGGAGGGTCTACTCTGCGTTTACTATGTAATCGAGTGCGACGCTGTGCTCGGCTGTTTGCCTGGGTAGGCAGGTAGAATTGGGATCGCTTTCGCGGATTACGTATTTATATTTATATGGTGGGTGCTGGGTGATGCTGGGAGTGAGGAGTAAATGGCTTAATTCTGTTGTCAACTCCCTCATTCTCAATCGCGCCATTGTCTGTTTGTTAGGCTGTCTGTCTATTTATCTCCTTACTTACGGGGGAACGTTAATTGGTTACCTACTGCATTGATCGAATCTAGGTTTCGGAAGGCATACGGCACGGGCCGAGGACTTGATTCCTCTTTACTCTCTTCTGCATTGCATACGAGCTTCGATTTACCTCAAAGGAACTTTTTCCCTACCCTATTGACGATAATTCATTCAAATCCCGGTGGGGTTTTCGAGGATTAAGACAAGACGAGAGAGAAAATGCGCTGGCAAGCTATCTTCGCGACGACTATCATGTCCATGACAAACGTCGCGGCGCTCAGTCTGCGCGTCATCACCTCCAACATCCGGTACGCGGCGGCCGCCAGCACGTACGAGAAGCCGTGGAGCGTGCGCGGACCACTGCTCATCGAGAAAATCAAATCCACGGCGGCAGCAGCAGCAACAGGTAATATTACTTCGATCCCGGTCCTCGGCATGCAAGAAGTCCTGCACGCGCAACTCCTCGACATCCGCGCCGGCCTAGGCGCCCAATGGGCCCATCTCGGCACAGGCCGCGACGACGGCGCGGAAAAAGGGGAATACTGCCCTATCCTCTATCAGCCTGCGAAAGTCAGGCTCGTGTATTCCACGCAGAAGTGGCTCTCGAAAACGCCCGATGTGCCGTCCTTCTGGCCCGGCGCGGGATCGCGGCGGTACGTGCTCGTCGCGGTCTTCGAGGAGATGGGCACGGGGACGAGATTCGTCGCGGCGAATACACATCTGGATAATGCGTCGCGGGAGGCGCGGACGGAAGGCGCGAGGATCGCGCTGCGGGTCATCGCGGATGTGCAGGGCGTGTATGGGCCGGATTTGCCTGTTGTGCTGTCGGGGGATTTCAATAGTGAGCCTGGGACGGGCGATGCGTATGGGGTTGTGGTGCAGGATGGGTATCTGGGCGATGGGTATGTGCTTGTGGACGAGGGGGGGAGGTTCGGCCCGTATGAGACGTATACTGGGTTTAACCCGGGGGAGGTGGATGGTGTGAAGCAGAGGATTGATTTCATTTGGGCTGGACCGCGGGATGGGGATGGGGATGGGAATGTGTGGGATGTGGAACGGTACGAGGTCTTGAGTAATGTCGTGGATGGCGTGTATTTTAGTGATCATCGGCCTGTTGTTGTTGATGTCGCGCTTCACTAGGACGGATACGAAGAAAGCGATTCTGGTATCGCGAGATTCTGGTCGATGTGGATGCTTCATTATTTATTTATTTATTTCGTGATCTAGTTAATGTGTTTGTTGTTTGTTGTACATATGCTACATGTTGAAGACAGCGTTGCGAGAGGCAGAAGACAGATATCTAATTAATTAATTACTCCTCCCCTTGGTACCGCCCATCGCGGACTGTACTGAGCCCCCGATACTGCCCTCCGGTGTGAATTGCTTGCCAATCATGCCCTCCTTGTCTAACGGGCCACCGACCTTCTGCGCCGCGCCGCCGAGTGCGCCTTGTTCTGGTGCGCGATGATGTGAGTATGGATATTCGATGGGCCGTCGACGTGTGACTGGGGAATCGATCGGTCCATGTTCGGAATCATTCGCTTACCTGTGAACTGCTTGCCGATGGTCCCTTCGGCGTCGAAGGCCTTGGGCTTGTCGCCGCCAAGACCGGCGTTGGCGGGCGTTGTGGTCGCCGATGCCATGCCGGTTTGTGTCTTGGCCCCCGTGTTAGAGCTTCCGTGAGCTGACATGGTTGTTGTGATAGTAGATTTGGAAGTGTTATGGTATATCTTTAAGAATACGTATGTGTTTAGAGGTTTATTTTCTGATCTTTTATTAATATGGAATCCGAAACAGTACGTTCACCTCACAGCAAGAGATTATATATGAAGCCAAAGACCCAGTGTCTACCTAGTCAGGAGTATGAGGTCATTAGTTCGTCATGTCGTGCACGTGTAGGACCTAGGACCGCTAAAGATCACGGACTTCCAATTGAACAAAATACTTACAGGGTCTTGAGAAATAATAAGTCTATATGTCAATGACTGACTATCTACTGATACGTGATTTCAATGACACTATGTATGTATGATGATGGTCGCCTTGGCTGCGATCGAGGCTATCCACAAAAGTCATGGCATAGCTGTTCCCCGCATTACTGCATTCATGCTTTTAATTCACCCCAGATTAAATACTCGGTACAAAGGTATTTGCTGACTCATTAGGGCATTGCAATCTGATTTCGGCATGGGGAGACCGAGTTACAGCGATAGTCACGTTACACTTCACACCTCACACGTAGATTTTGTAGTAGTAAGAATAAACCTGTATTCTCCAAGAGCTGACTTAAACGAGCGACATAAACTAAAACTTCAACCCAACATCTCGAAAGCTAATCTCAGGCCCGGCCTTTCCCTCCGGCAACTGCTCCAGCTGCGCTAACCGCAGCAGACGCAGCAGAGATCCCAGCTACTGTGGCGGCTGGAATGGCTGCTAGAAATGGAGCCGGGCAAAACTGGACCAGTGCGACAGCGGCAACGGTCGAAAGAGCGGTCTTGGCGAATGAAGGCATTGTTGAGCTAGGGATGTACGGTGGAAGGACCGAAAATGGTGTTGTAGTAGAGGCAAACAGAAGTTGAACAGGAAATCTGGTGATGATGTGCTATAGTTGTCACTGTTACCAGACAATAATATGCTGACGAAGAGGAAGAAGAGGAGAGAATGAAATAAAGACAGAAGAAGTGTTGCTGATGGTGATGATGAAGGATAGACTGGTCAAGACGAGCGATGGACTCGTCCCTTTATAGTCACATTGGAGTCATATTATTCTTGATCATTGAAGCGAGGTTTTTCTTTCTTTAGCTTCGAAACGGATACCATACCTCTGATGGATTATCACACATCCTCTTCCTACGAGGGTGTTCCGATGATGCCGGCATCAAATATGCTAAACTTAGAAATTATCGTGACTCTCTATCTCGGCGTTTCGCTGTGTTCTGCTTTCAATTAACTGGGTCACGATTTCTTGGGAAGGGCTACAAGAAAAGCATCATCAAGATTCTTCAACTTGCTGCAGGTACGACTGTCTCAGGCTCCTGCATATCGATGGCACATGTAGTCTTGAGTCTACTGAGGCGATTCCAAATATTGCAGCTTTCTGGATACGCATCGCTCTAGCTAACGGACTAACTTTAAAATACCTTTGGGAGGAACCGAGGGCTATCTACTATCCAGAAACCGGCAATGAACAAGTTCTTATCTACTATGTAATGAGGACGTGAAAGTCAAACACTAGAAACAATACGAACCAACATTCAGGTAACTCTAAAGTGTAGGAGTTTGGACACAAATCTCAAGCTAGACATAGTCACTTTGTATAACAAATGCATATATGCAGGGCAGCTATCTATTATTTGGTAAGTAATAATTACATCGAAGGACCGTGCCATAATCTAGATATCTACAAGAAGCATAGTAGCAATTAGAATGCCAGCTACATACTTCACCCAATACGAATCTTGGAAAACGATGACGATCCAGCCTATGTACGGTACATATCCCCTGACGAATCCGACAATCTCGCTTCGATACACTGAAGTGCGTTCTCCAGGGTATAATGCAACGTCGTCAACGATGTTATTCTAACATGCCCAGAAATAGGACAAGGACTTTCCGGATGGACCATTCGCCCAGTGGTAACGAGCTTCGACGAATATGCATCATGGATCTGAAGATAAAAACCAACCATCTTAGCAGTATAGGGAGATGAGCCAGGTAGTTGAGTCAAAATGGCCGTGTATCAGAGTTCTTAACTGTTTATGGAATATGTAGATGTTCCTCATTGTAGCACGATGAGTTTAGATTTGTCCATAATCTGGTATTTGCCATATAGATCCATTTCCTTTTTCATACAATAAGTTCTAGATCCCTGCAGTATTTCTGTTATCCGCACTACTTCTTGTGCGGCGTCAACGTTCTAACTGCTGCAATGCATGCCACGAAACCAACAGCTGTCAGCAAGCCTTACCACCGCAGTGAAATCACCCGATAGATAAAATTAGAATGTTATTTGATATTTTAAGATGTAAATTCAGAACTTGCTGCTAACATGCGTCAAAATAACCAATCTGATGAGAGATGTAAGCACAGTCGATCATGCGTAGTTGTATGTGGCTGCGTCTAAGCACGTGACCTCCTTTCGTCAATCACATTCACATTCACGTGGTGCAACAATTTCATAATTCATTCACCAAACCCCCAGAACAATCAACATATCTTGCCTTCTTCATCTCTCTCTTACACTTGCTCTACCTTGCCATTCTGCTTTAGCATCATTCTCAATATGGACATCAGCTTGCAGAGCCCAACCCCACCGGTAGAAATACTGAGTGGCTATGTATCGGAAGACGAAAAGACTTTGGCTCTCCATTGCCACGATGACACTTTCAAGGCGGCCACAGTTTTCAACGCAGAAGGGAATCCTGTCTTTCGCGTTGAGGGCACTTCATTTGGCAAATCGTGGAGCTGGAGACGGAAAGTGTTCGATGCGGCTTATGATCGGCACCTCTTCGACTTCCGACACGAAAACTTCGACTTCAAGAATCGATGGGTACTGGAGGATAACACAGGCCGCAAGTTCGGTTCATTTGTCCATAAATCACAATTGACTACCAATCACTCCGCCATCGATGCGACCGTGCGCACCACCGCGGGCGAAGATGTTCTCGTGACCATGCGGCCACGAGACGCAGCGGCTTTAACAGTTGCTGTCACCGTAAATGATACAACAATTGCGGCCATCGGTAAAGTTGCTGATAATAGGAATACCCTGTCCCATAAAGGAGATAGTACCGTCTGGTCGATTCGAGTTGCCGCTGCGACCGATCTGACGTTGGTATGATCCCTTCCTCACCTGTTAATCCTACTTTGCATGTGGCTCACAGAAGATCTAGATAGTCGCCTTGGCATTATGCCGTGCTGAGATGGGGCACGTCTGGAATCAGTGATCGGATGCATAGCTGGGGTCAAACCTCTCACCCGTCCTCCCCAACTCTCCATTTTTCACAGTTCCGCATTGCCCTACTCATTGAGGCCATATTACCACCATAGTTGCCATCAACAACGCAATAAAGTTATAAGAACTGGGTCAGAGCTACTTGGTAATGATGCTATATACAGAACAAAAACTAAATTGCATGGCTGAGAACAAAGCATAGTATGGGAAGACAATGAAATGGAGGGCCGAGTTTCGCTCGAATTCGAGTCGCCTTGCTCTAAACTATAGTGTAATGTTAGCATTCTTGTAGGGGGTATGGTGTTCACTTACAGTATCGATTGAGGTGTCGAGTTTAGTCGAATAGCCATGACTTTGGAGGCCCACCCACTGACCCAGGCCTTTCGACCCCCTCCAAAGTTGTCGTGTGTTGCCGTGTCGTATGTTGCTGTATCGTGTATCGTCGTGTCGAAGTTCGAGGCCGGTGTTGTCGTTGTCCATTTAAGCGATTAGAGGCCCACCCTCAAGCCCAGTCCTTCCAACCCCCTCCGACGCCGTCGATTCAGGTTGTCGTGACGTTGTCGCCATTTCCGTGTTGTTCGTGTCGGTCCGAGAACGAGAATAGTGAAGCAGTCGCGGTATTATCCAGCTCTTTAAACGTCCCACCCCGTAACCCGGGTCTTATAACCCCCTCCGGTAGCTTGTTGAAGTGGATGGAAAGGAAGATGGTGAAGTGACAGCGGAATTATCCAACACTTTAGGGGTCCCACCCCGTAACCCAGGTCTTGCGACCCCCTCTAAAGCTGCCGCGTTGCTGTAAATCATACCTTTTAGAGCTACCAGAGGTCCCACCCTAACCCAAGTCTTACGACCCCCTCTGATAGCTTGTTGAAGTGGATGGAAAGGATAAGGTGAAGTGACATGTTCCAGAACTTTAGAGGTCCCAACCGTTTGCCCAGGCCTTTCGACCCCCTCTAAGGCTGTTTGATGAACCCCATGTTCCCATCTAGCCCCCTGTTTTCCTCTATTGCCCCCAGCTCTGGGCAAGTTTTATCCTATACATAGGAAGCTCAACCCTCTGACCCACGTTATGAGGCCCCTGTGTCCACGCGTATAAGGTAGTTTCTTCTCTTGCCTTGTTTATCCTCTTGCCCAGGAGGTAGCATACCTTGCTTCTATCCCAAAGGATAATAGCACTCCCACAAACGGTAGGATAGGTATTATAGTGCCAATTCACCCACTGACGTTCGGAATCACCCTATCTCAAGTGAGTTAACATGCCCTCGACCCACTAGAATTGGTTGCCAACACGCTTCCAGCAACAGTAGTTGTACTAAGAAGAGAGTTGGCGGTGGTGTGCAGGGCATTTAGCATACCAGTCGCGTTTACTCAGCGCCTGGGCCAAGCTGTGAGACTCTACTATGTACCTAAGTACTCAATACAGAATCATACCTCAACTACTCCATGGAACATCTAGCACACCACTCAACCTCATACCCCTCGCCATCTGTCACTGTTACACGTACAACCGCTGTGCCAGCTGAATATGCAGTTCTCCTTGCACTTCGGCCGTACGAAAGGCCACTGCAGGCTGTTCATGATCGTACAGAGACATGCAGGCAATATTGGGCAATATTGGAAAGTGAGGTTATATAGACTTCGCTTCTTGAAACAGACCCCGAGACCTAGGTGGTCTGGGCTGGTAGAACGGTTGTATATAGAGTCGAGTTAAGCTACCAACAGTTAAGAAGGAGTTGGTTGGTCAAGGACTCATGCAGCCCTAGTTATTCATTATACAACATGCGTCATATACGATACACACATATGAGCATATATTAAAGCAAGGGAGGGCTTATTATAATTAATAAAATCAACAATCTTCTTAACTTCATTGTTTTGGCGCTTTTGCATAATGTATGACCGACCTTGTAGATCGCACACGGGTACGGGAGCATGCCTTATAAAGGCCCTTTATAAAACTTCATGATCATTCCTGAGACATGCAGCCCTGTATTGGAAAATGAGGTTGTACAGATTTCGCTGACAATGAGACATTTCGGGCTTTAAAGACTAGTAAAAGCTGAGAAATACTGGACCATTTATATATACAATACAGACAGCCACGAGAGCCAATAAGGGAGTTGGTGACTAAGGACTTTGCAGCCCTGGTATATTATTTTATCGTGAATACCTAGCTTCAATCCTAAGCCTGTTCATCTACTTTTTTATTTTCAGTTGCTGATCCAACTGAGTCACACTATAATCCTGATATTTCCATTTAAGAATCAATTAAGTATAAATTGACGTTGCAAAATCTAACACACTTGAAGCAATGCTACATAGGATCCGTTCACACATAAATAAAGGAAGCTAGTAATCCTACACAAGTTGGGCATGGTGCTCTTTGATACTGTTAAGTGTTGACATATTTTCTTATGATCCTAAAAATGTAACACAAGCTAATCTTAATTCCATCGCGCCAGGAAACAACAATATTGCCATCGCCAATGCTCTTATCCGCTGTAGTTGAAGATGCAAGTCGAAAGTGGATCATTATTTCATCACGTGAGGGAGCAGGCCAACCCAGTAATGTAGAGTAGCCCCAGCCAGAGTATCCATGGTTATCAGGCTGCCACTGAACTGCCTTATACTTACAGTGAGTTTAGCATATCTTAGGTGGCTGCCTGTGGGCGCTATAACTCCGGAATGCTAGCGGGCTTTTAATGGGCAAGTTGTGCTAGAAATAACTTCTTAGTACATGCCTAATTGCCCTAAAATTACCTACTAGCTTTAGGCACACACTGAATACGCTGAAAGCACCTAAGCACCCAAGCTTATAGCGCTTCCTGCGCATACATTCAGTGCTTCTGTACTACCACCTTAGGGCGCTGTTATCCCCCATAACCAACTGCACCCTAGAACTATCGGTATAGGGTGCATTGCCTACTTAATCAACCCACTTCGGTAATGAAGATTTCAACCCCAAATAGATATAGAGGGAAATACACATTCGTTTTTGCTGAAATGGAAGGTATATGAGGATTACATTCAACTGAACTGCTTGATCTGAGTGAGGTGGGAAGACCGTCTTATATACATGAACAGTGCCTTCGTAACCCTTCGTGCCCCTTGACCCGTACCGTATACATGAAGTGACTCCTTTACCACCCACACTTTCAATAATTTTTTTCTCTTTAAAAGGCACTTCCATTTTCCTCTTGATTGTACCTATAAAACTCATCATAGATGTCCTTGTCTACTGCGTACGGAAGATCACTACAAGCTTTTGCTAGGTACTGAAGCCTGGCGGCAGTCCCGTGTAAGAAACTTCTAGTTTAGAAACCAAGGTATAATCAATCTTCACGTGCGGTTAAGAGGTAGCTAAGAATAAAGATCACCACACTTGTCATATTCAATAGAGGCTGTACGGAGTATACTAAATGGAATCACTTTCCACTGAACCCTCAAAAAATATACATTATACATAAACCGTAGTTCCTACACTCATCTTTCGTCGCTTTTTCTTCCATTCTTCTCTCTACGATATCGACACTACCTCGCCTTGGATCTATTGAGTATCTAATTATCAGTGACAAATTCCAGCTATCTCGGGGCTTTTCTAAGTGAAGTTTTTCCAGCCCTCGCACAAGTGGTCGGATAAGCTGAACACTTGTACCTGCAAAGGTAGAAGCCTTGTGAGCCCCGAAGGGAAAGAGTAGCGGTCCAAGATGAGATTTCACTTCCTTCTCGAGTGGGAAACAGCATGGAGCTTATCCCCCCGGGAGGTAAAATCGTTTAAAAAGGTGGTTTGAATTGTGGTGTTTCACGGCGTAGTCGCGGCCGCATAGCCGCTGGCACCGAATGTGACTCTGAATTATATGGGATGTACTAGGTATAGTACAGTACATAGCTTATCAGCAATTATCAGGTTAACAGGGGGTTAGCTTTTCTGCAACGAACGTCAAACAGCACTGCATTTTTAGCCCTGTCGAAGGGGACAGAATCCCCTGCCTTGCTAAATTCAGCTGTTCAGCCGAATCGCCCAGAAATGGATGCCCTTCTCGGGGGCTAAAAATGCAGTGAATGGTGGCTAATGTCTGCTAGTGCATCAGACAATTGGAAGTTGCGTTGGAAACAGTCATAGTTTACTGCAGCCTCGCTGATCCTAGGAAGTAGAGTTTGGCTCTCATCACGGTGATATTAGGCTGTAATTGAGGGGATTACTCCAGACACGTTTCTAAGTTCTTGATCTAGTTTTGGTGATAGTCACACAGTGGGAAAGATCACATATATCTTTCGGCTGTCTCACCGGCCTGCAAGATGTGCTGAACCGATACTAGAGGACTTACCTATAGCACATGTGACAATCCATGGCTCAGGCGATTATATGATGTTGAATCCGAGCTGGAATACTACTAGCGACAACTAAGTCTTTCAGTAAGATAGACAGGGCCCAGTGTCCCGGTTGATGATGGGTGTAAAGTTCATAAGAGGAGGCATGCAGGATTATCCGGATACAGCGAGTAGAGTTCGGGTTCTCTTTTCATGAGCTCCGAACTAGGAAATGTATAAGGAAAGGGCCTAGTAAAAGCATAAGTAGGGGGCACTCATGCATAGAGTACAGTGATAGAGATATCGAGATTAAGATTCGCGAGTCGTCAGACACGATCTTTGGCAGGACGAACCCTTTTACCACACAAGTAGTAAGCAAAGATCACATGCAAATACTCTCCTGCCCCCTGGCTCACTATTACGATAGTATCTGAAATCCAACCAAGGAGAAATGCTTTGCTTCATTCAAATACCTCAATCTACCCGCCCAGAATTCCCGAGCAACTTCATTGTTTTGTTTACCAACATTTGCATTTCATCAACACTACACGCCATAGCATACATCCAAGCCCAACCCCGATTGAAACATGCAATTAAAATTCCCCAAGGACAATGAGGGGGGGAAAAAAGGCACAGACTCCTTGCTAATGACTAATCAATTGTTTCCTCTCCCGTAATGAGCAAGTTAGGACAGCAAGATCCAAAAGCCAGGAAGAAGAAAAAAGAAGAGATAAAGATGAAAAGAAAAGAAAAGTAGGCGTCAACCAGCAAGACCATTCATTAGAACCATTCATTAGATTAGAAATAAAGTAAAGTAAAGTCCAAACCAAAGCCTTCTCAACAATTAAGGGGGGAAAAACAGCATAAGTGCCCTCGCGTGGTATCGTGTGATGCAATCTACTCTAGCCGAGCTATTCTTGCATCTGGTGATCGTTTCCGTCATGACTTCGTAACAGCGTCGTGTAAATCTTCATATTTTCATTCGTGATATCGTGATATTGTGATTTTCTTCCCCATTGCAGGGAGATAGATGAGTGGCATGCATGTGTCGATGCCAGACAGATACACCTGACCAGAGGTACGTGCGCGGTATCTTCTCTGTACCTACCATATGCGCATCTCGCGATTAGGAGTAAAAGGAGGTGGCAAGAGGTGAGTAAGTAAGTAAGTCGCAGACCATGCCGACGCCAAACAAGCGTACACGGCAAAGCATCAAATACGCCGCGACGCAGCATTCCACGGCCGATCTCCTCGCTCGCGCCGACGACGATCGCCCAGCTTCGAGCCCTACTCTTCGCTAGGCGTATAGTCGTCCTCGCCGTCGTCCCGCTCCTCGCTCGCGTCCTCGACGGACGGGTCGGAGATCGGGTTGAACAGCTGCTTGAAGCGCGTCGTGGCCGTGGCGTGCGCGAAGCGGATCTGGAAGTGCCCGAACTTGCCCCTGCGCTGGCGGTGCGGGCGGTACTCGTCGCAGAACGAGTAGACCTGCAGGTTGCGCAGCCAGACGCGATGCGGCGCCTTGTGAATCAGCCAGTCCTCTGGGGGGTCGGGGGGGACTTGGAGGTTGGTTAGTGAGTGAGGTAAGGGGTGAGAGAGGGACTGGGTGGATGGTTTGGATAGAGGGGAGTGAGAAGGAGAGAGGGGCCGGATGTTGGCGTACTGAAAGCTGTCCAGACAGGACAATTCCGAAGCTGACCGTCGCGCGTCATGACATGCAGACGGCGCCCTTTCGTATGGAAGTCTTCGACGACAGCGAGGTAATGCTCGACCTCATCTTCAACGATTTGTCTGCCGAAAATGCGTTAAACTCGTCATTCCCATTGAACCAATGATGTACCCAACACAGGTTGAAGCGGATGGATGAATGGACTTACGCCTGAAACAGCCTCTTCTCCTTGCGAATGATGAACTCGCGGGGATCGAGAGTACGCACCCACTCGTTCCTCAGGCCGACGAAGGTGCAATAGAACAGCACCAGTTCTGTTTCCCTCGGACATCAATACCAATATTCACTCATTTATCATCTCGTCTAGATTGGAATGAACCCGATGGATGGGATCGGACGAGCTCCCAAAGACTAGAGAGGTAAAGGGCTCCAAAGAAAAGCGCGTGCGCTGAAGTGACTGACCTTCCCACGTCAGGAACGCGAGGCTCGCCCAGGCCTTCCTGCGCTTTTCGACGGGGTTCCAGTACGTCAGGTACAAGACAGACGTCGACTCCCTCTCGATAGTAAGGGCGTCGATAGAGCGGATCGAGACCCACGGCTCGCCGCTGGGTGTCCGTGTGCGCACGAGCATGAAGGGGAGTTGGTCGTAGTGGCGGAGGAATATGATTATCGAGACGCGATCGTTCTCAAATGTCCTTCGCGTCATGTATTAGTTCCGGGGTAATATCGATTTACCACGAGGGTTATAGCTAGTAGTTTGGAATGGTTCAGACCATTGGGGGGAGAGATTGAATCTTACCGTTTCACCAGTATCGTGACATCATCAGGGAAGGGGTCCAAATGCCCCATCCTATCCAACGGTCCAAAAGCATCTGATCTGTAACTATATCGTTAATGACATACTTCCCGTGAGAGGTCCAGTCGGAGTGAGGTCAGTAGCTCACTTGCCGCGCTTCCTAAACTCCCTCCTCGACGGCAGCGGATGCGTAAATATAGCCTCGGCCCAATGAGAGTCCTAACGCAAGCCTTATCAGCACACACATCGCTCCTTTTTCTCCTTTCTGAAAAAATGGTCTACGAATGAAGAAAAGACGACAAACCGTTTCTTGCTTCCAAAAATCTAGCGCCGTATCTCGTCTGATGAGATCGGTCCGGATGGGACTCGGGGGATCTATGCATGAAAAATTGGTTGAGCATTAAACTTCCCGCAGAACAAGAACGGAACGTAGGAACTGTTCCTTAAACCGGACATACCTATTTTCCGCGCGTCTCGCAACTGGAGAATGCGTATGCGGAGTGCTTCCATGGCGTTTACGTCGAAATTCGGATCCCTGCTCAGTGATGACCGAAATAAGTAAGGACTTCTATTCTTGTTTTTTGTTTTTTTTAGGAAAAAAAACAAAGGCTTTCCTTGTAATGCATGCATGGAAGGAATCTGCAAAGGCAAGGCAAAGGCAAAGTCAACGTACCTCGTCAACATGTAATTAAGCGAAGCTAGGTATTGGTTGTACATAACAAATCTGGCCGGCAGCGTGGTACCAGGCAGCTCGTTGCTCATCTCATGATACATGGTGCGCCAGCGGTGTTCCTTGCTGCGGTACTTGTCCTCGTAGTAGCCCATGATGTCGCGCAGCGTGCGGCACAGGCAGGGCAGGATGACGTTGAGGTAGTCGATCATGACGGGGACTTGGGATAGGTGCACCTGGGACTTGTCGGCGAGGTCGCGGAGGAGATGGCTCGTGATCTGCAGATGGTCGATGACGGCCGTGAGGTGTGGTTGGAGATGCTCTGGTAGGGCGTTGCGCAATCCCTGGAGACAATACCCGACCCTGTCGGCGCGCTCGGCCTCAACGCAGCACCCATCCAGCACGCGCGGGCCCAGGTCCCGGGCCGCTAGGTCTCGGGTATTGACCCGGGGTGCCGGAGTTCTAACCCGGCGGATTCGGATCGGCTCCATGGTGAATTGATGAGGAGTTTACTTTTTCATCGTGGCAGATCGCCGATGAAAATTCATTTTATGGCATCTCATTCGGCTTCTGGTGTTACTTGAAAGTGCAAAAACAGAAGAGGTGGAAAAGCAGGTGGTTTCACTTTAGGGAAGACAAAGTATGGCAGTTATTAAAGAGCAGCGGGTGTTCCACAGGAGGACGTCAAAGTGGCTCGTGTGGGGAAGCTTCAAAGAACTCCAATGGCGTACAGAAGACAATCAAGCGCGGTTATCTGGGGAACTGGAACGCAAAAGAAATATCTCGCGAGAGACTCTGTCTCTCTCTCTCTCTTTCATTGCCACATGCGGCTGCGGCTCATCTGACGTGGCCAGAGCCTAATGGGGGTGGGGGGAATTCTCAGACGACACACGATCGGTGGATGGCCCAGCTATGTAGAACAATGTCGGCTGGAGAGTCGTACGCCTATGGTGCTGCTGATGGGCGCATGGATGGAGACGCACTCATGATTGGGTCTCACTATAAAGCACCATGTACAATGGAAACACGAAGCCGTCATCGCAAACAAACTGTTCGACCTAGAGACGGGATATCCGATCACCTGCCATTGGAAGGAGCGACGGAGGTGTGAATAATATGAATCTCTGCCGATTTGACACAGATAGAGACATTCATTTACGAGACAGCCAGATAGGGTATTCCAGGTGGCTTATTAGACGGGAACTCGTCTTGGGACGACGTGCTTGCTTTGGGAGTCTGTCTATGCCCGAAGGGGTAGCTTAATGTTTCGATGCGGTCTTCCGTTGGACAGCCAGCGGCGTCAGTGAGGGAATGCCACGAAGCCAGCAATCTGAATCAAGCAATCATAGCGCGCCGGGGAAATGGCACGATACGGAAATCAGGGTCCGGCAACGGTGGTGTTGGGTCTCCCACCATGCGGAGAAGAGGGACGGCTTGCATAAATAAGCTGCAAGAGACCTATTTGGCGGGTGATCACATCGCTGTTGGCTTCTGGGCTGTCTGTGTATTCTCATCCACTACGGGGGTTCTTCGCCCCGATTGATGAGTGTATGGCGAGCGACATATCATATATGTAGGCTACTCGCTCGTTAATGTTCTTTCCCCTATCTTTGTCTCGCCAAGCTGCATTGGAGCCGGAACATTGCACGTTTCAACGCATCACCTTCAACTCATCGCACCTGGAAGAATATAGACGAGGCGACATTTCGTAGAGCAGAGACAAGCAAACAGGAATCGGATAGATACGAACAAGCACCTAGAGGATGAGCGGGAAATGCTTGTAATCACCCGGAGTCCTCGGTCTGGTCGTATCAATGAAGGAGGTAATACATTCTATATTCCACTCTTGGAACGAATATGAGAATCGAGAACTATATACCCTATCAGGCGTGTTGACGATGCCTTGTCGAGCGAAGATCCATTTTGAACAGGAACTATGGAGAATCGACAGATTGGGTAACAATCAAGCCTCATTGAGAGGAACGTGGGATGCTGGGCTTACCGTGCTGGAGACGGCTTGCCCGATGACGGCTCGCATATGCAACCTGCCCGACCCAAGTCGACGCTGCAGGTTTCCGGGGCAAATAATGGAGAACTAAGCCTTGGCCTAGAAACCAGCTTCAGTTGCTGTGTCAGGACATGATGCAAGCTGAAGGAGAGGGGTGTCATGTCTTATCATAACAGCTAGTGGTGCTGCGGCGCCTCAGAAAGCTGCAGTTGCTGGTAATTACCGCCGGGTGCTAATTAAGCATCGATATTTCATTGAGATGGACGAGAAATCATGAAGACGGGAGGATTCAAGTCTTCAATCAGTTGATGTTTGAGGCCGTTGTTGGCCAGTTACTGACTGTTTATAATCATAGCCTATGGCATCTAAGATTTGTAGCATTGATGATGTTACAATTAGCTACTCGCCAGCTTGACAGCTCCTAAGCAGTGGCGAGCTCTCTCATGTTCGTCCATCACACATAGTATGAAACAAGGGACATGTTTCACAAATTGTGCTGTTAACTAATTTACAATGTCCGAGTGCATCGGTCCTTATAATAACCTCGTTATACGGATGCCAGAGTATGACAGCCTAAGTCTGAAGATCTCTTCGACTTGACACCCTCGAAAGCAAAACGAAGCAGAGCCATCCTGCTTCACAACACCGTCCCTGCCCATACGTAAAAGAAACAAAATTCAATACCGCCAGCATCTTTCACAACCCATGACCATGGTAGAACGTAGTCATCCCGTCGTGAACGTGCCTCTAAATCGCAACCGATGACATGGACTTGTTATGCTCACATGCCGCTCGACTCCCTCCATTATATATGCTTAGTCGGACTCGGCCTGTACACTCTAATTAGCAGTGTATTAAGGGAAGCCAGCCGTATGTTTAATCAACGTACCTGGTAAGCTTGCTTCTCATCCTCGTATCGCTTCTTGTCGGCAGCAGCCTTGGCCTCGTACGGGGCACGCTGTTTGTCATTGAGGGCCTTCCATCGCTCGCCAAGGATCTTGCCAACTTGGCCTGCTGCAGTGTTAGTGCTAGGTTATGGGCTGGAATCGATAGGGCCCGACCGTACCGAACGAAATGCCGGGGTTCTCATCACGAACGTTCTCGCGTTGCTCGTTGGCGAAGAACATGTATGCAGAAAGACCACGCTTAGGGGCGTTGGGATCTGGTGATACCTTAGTATAGTGCATCGGCTTTGATGTACATGTGCATTGTCTGAATTGAACGTACCCTTCTTTCCCTTTCTCTTCTCAGGCTTGCCAGCCTTGCCGCGCTTGGTAGCTTCCTTAGGCATGATAGGTAATTTTCTAGTGAACTGTGAATTAGTGATGCCAGTATACTAGATGGGAGCATGATTTGGTATCGTGCATGGCACGGTAATAAGAGCAATGAATGAGGCGAGGTGGAATGATCTACTGATGATCCAGGCGATTAAGTGATCAGGGAGGCATGACAGGAATTTTGTGAGCCATCATAGCGGCGCCCTCCAACGCGGAAGAGGCAGCTGTATATAGAAAAGATATGCGAACGGGTGAGGCTGCACGGGCGCAATGAGAAACAGGTTTTCTGTCGCATGCCAATTGAGTTGCGAACGCGTGAAAGACGCGTCTTGAAGCTTTAAATCGGCAACAAGTGACGCCAACACATACAACCAGGGAGATATGGGAAAATCAGGAGTGGTGGTTGAGGTTGACGGAGCTATGGTGTTGAGCTGCCGCTGGTGGACCTCATGGCCGATTCTCGCGATGTTGGCTGCGATAGTGATGATAGATAGCCATGACAATGGCAAGCAACGGTGGTCTAAGCTACTGGAGAAGAGATGCGAGGGAAGCGAGAAGATGCAATTGGAACAAAGGCAGCGAGAACAAGGCAGAGGGAAGAGTGCGTGCGATGCACGGGTGCAGAGTTGTTGAATAGCTTTTTAGGAGCTTGGCTTGTGCATATAAATTTCAAGTATAGAGTGCGTAGAATGCGTAGAATGCGTTGTGATCGAGGTTGTGTGAAAGTTGCTGATTGCTGCGAGGTGACCTTGTGTTTGTAGTGCAGTGCCATAGTAGGAGAAGTACTCACTGTTTTGTATGTGTGGGCTGCGTACTGCGGAAGTGAGCAATGGGCGGATGGGCGCGGTGGTGAAGTTGAGTGAGGGCGGCGTTTGTATGGGAGACGATTTGTATGGGAGTTTGTATGAGAGAGCAGAGAGAAGAGGGAAATTTGTATGGGGGGACCGCTTGGGCGACTGGGCTTTTCAGGGTGGGCGGGTGATTGTGTGTGGGAGTCGACTGGAAGGGGCACCTGGAGCTGGGGGGTGCGGTACCCATGTACTCTGGTACCGGATTTTGGTAGGGAGGGTACATTTGTCTCCATTGTCTCCAGACTGTCTGCCCGTCTGTCCCTCCCTCTCCCTCTCTCTCTCTTTCTCTCCTAGGCTGTCTGTCTGTCTGTCTCCTCTCCTCTCCTCTCCAAACTCCGAGAGGGAGGGTGCGAGCCTAGCCTGCCTGCCTGCCTGCCTACCTACTACATACCTAGTACATACCTGACAAAAGTAGACTACATAGTATGGGTGCTGCAGCAGCAGCAAAGCGGGTTGGACTGTCTGAGCGGGTGTCTGGTCTGGCTTTCCATCTGGCTTGGATGTGTTTGGGGGGTGTGCGTGTGCGTGTGTGTGTGAGGTAGTGGTGGGAGGGGAGAAAGTACCCGGCAAAAGTGTGTAGGTGCACTGCATCGCCAAGTACTCTTTCTATCTGCTAAGGTATACCCTTACGTCTTCTACGTATTAGATACTTTACTCAGGTTAGGTAGGTAGGTGATGAGAGGGGTACCTGCCTAAGCGTCCACTGCCCGCTCTCTTGGGCAGAATAGTACATAGAGACCACCCGACTAACACCACCTGGGCACTGCCTGGGCACCTGGAGTTACTGTATGGAGGGGGAGGGAGGGGTGGTGGTCGAGGCTGGTCTAGTTCAGGCTTTTAGTAGGTACCGGGACATAGGAGGCACGAGGCATCTAGGCACCTACCTACCTAGCTTAGGTACTGTGTATATGATAGTATGAACACTGTATGGCTAAGTCAATTACATAGGTAGCGAAACTCACGATTATCCTGCCTAGGTATGTGGGTAGTAGGTATTTGGCTCCAGTACAGGTACAGCGAGGATACCACAGGTCCAATGGACTTTACAGTAGACACAGCACTGTACGGTTTCTGTTCTTTCGCGACACTACTCTAGACACCATGACAGACGTTGGCAAGGTACCACCGCTCTGCTACATATGTACTATACTTATATAAGGACACTATGTACCCATACTACTATACGATATATTTATATTCTACATGTACTCATATAAGGTATGAAGCAACCTAATGCAGCTTTCCTACCTAATATACAGTAAGGTAGTGTCCTCGCTTTAAATAGGTATACATATACGAATGGGAGAGGGATTCTTATCAAACTTGAAGTTATTTGAGTGAGAATGATATCAGGCAAGCAAGCAAGCAAGCCAGCAAGTGGGTATGTAGGTTCACATACCTGGTATGAGGTACCGACGGTGATTTACTAGTAGCTTGTTAGTCGGTCGTGGTACACATGATCCTTCTGTAAGTAAATACTTGAGTGTCATATTGAGGTAGGATAGCCCCATGATCCTCAAGTCGACTTATGGAAGTATGGGTACCTAGATCCTGTGGCATTCATTGGTGCGAGTTGCTGGTTTCTATATCTCTCTCCATTCCAAATGTCCCTCTGTTTTGAATGATAATTTTATAGTAAGTACATATGTAGGTATGTATGTAGTCAAGGAGGGACAATTGTATTGTGGTGTAGCATACCAGGGCGGTCTTTGTGGTCCGAGCCATTATACATCGTAGTTCGTTCCTTGTGACATCTTCCTACCTATACCTAGATAGGACAATACTAGGCGTTATCTTGTAACATAACCGCGCTGAAGAATCTACAACACTCCCACGCATGGCATGCAAGGGGCTTGGTCTACAGCATTGCATGAGGTGAAGAGAGAGGGCAACACGAACAAGCCCGTCTTCTGTTGGAGGCAATGTTGCCCAAAGGTAAACGACAGCCGGTAAGTAGGTACATGTGGCCGAGGTATGTAAGTGGGTGGTAGGTATTGTCCTCCTTCTTACAGGTTACCTATATCAGCTATGCTTATATGGCTCCAAGTCGGTGACAACCTCAGGATCAGTCGTGTTGCTAGCGAGCTGCTTGTGCCCCCTTTCACTTCGGCTTCCTGCGCCTCTCATTGGGCTCGCACCTAGTTGTCTTCGCGATCAGAGACAAGACAAGACAAGGAGGGAAGGCAAGCAATGACGAGAATACGGTACCTAGGTAGGTATGCGAAAGCCACCACCATACCTACCTTCTACTTCGTAACACGTACCTATGTATGTAACCATGACTACCACGCATCAAATCCTTGGGCGTGGGACAGGACGGCTGAAAGAGGACCACGAATGGTATGGCGGGTTGACGCATTTGTTTCCGTCTCTGATTCATTGTTCTGGAGTGTCGGCCAACCGATTTGGGCTTTGGGATTACCATAGCACGCCGTTGAGCCCCTCCCCTCCCCATATCTCGACTTGGACTACGGTACACTACACGTATGGCATCCCTTCCTCCCAGAAACAGCCTTATGTCATCCCAACATGTCTCATCCATATCACAATGGTCTTTAGTCACACCATGCTTACTTACCACGTAGAGACAGTGACACACCACAGCCTAGAGGCAGCTAGACTTGTTGCTAGACTTGTTGGGTTTTATTTCCTGTGCGAATAGTCATATTCAGCAATCTTGTATCGGGCAGATGCGTAGTCAGCCTCGTTTCGCCTGCCTACTTACAGTACCTACACTATCTGTACGTAACGACTGCATGTCATCATGTCGCCAGGAGGGAGAGGCAGAGACTGGAAAGGCGGGCGGGCAGGTTAGGCATGTACCTCACCGGCCCCTGTTAGCGTAGATGTACATCCGCTACTACCATACTAGCAGAATGTAGGTAGGTAAGAGGTGGTATGTGGTGGAGTGTACATATCCCTGGTCTGCTCTGGTCTTCTCTTCCACATGCCGATGCCTACCTATTACCTATTTGTACCTCTAAGAGTGCGCAGTACATAGTAGATTTACCTGTGTCTCTATGGAACGCTACCTGCTTCATCAAGCACGCTACCTACCGCGCGTCGGTACACTACATCGCTAGTAGGTTGAGCGCAACTATGCGTACATCTACACTCCTAGCATTGGATAGTACTAGCCCCCTGTGGGTGTTTTGCTTTGCCTTGCCCTAATTCATGCTGGTCTGCTACACCTCTCTCTGCAGCTGATTACAACCATGTCTAGCCCCCGGCTTGATTATGGGAGTCTGCTGGCCCCCCCTCGTGTCGTGTGTCCGCGTTTTTCTCCCCTTCCTCTCTTTTTTCCCTCTGATTCTTCCTAGGCCTTGAAGCTCTGACCCGCCAAGGAAAGTCCTCATTGGTCACAGACGGCGAGATGGGGACTCGCCATCCTACAGGTAGGTATCTGTGGTTCTGTAGTTGGTATGATGTTCTAGAAGACAAGACGAGTGCCTTGCTAACCTTAAAGACATCTTCGACCTTTACTTTGTCAATGCGGACGCGACCCGAGCAGAGCCTGATAATTATAGTTTAACCGCTCATAAATACGGGCGATATTTCTACGTGTATGCAACACAAAGCAAGGTGCCGTGCAATCCGCATTTCGCATTTTACCTTCAGAGCGTTCAAAACTTCGGATTGATCACTCACTTTGCCGAGGTACTTGACGGATCTACTGACGAATGCAGCATTAACAAGAAGTGGCGCTAAAGAGAACGCAACAAAAGAGGAAAGGCAGAAAAAAAAATAAGAGCGAAAAGCAATAATAGAAAATCAATGTCGATGACAAGGAGGTAAGGCATACTTAACTCTAAACAAACTCACCTTCTGCAACAAGGGAAAGGATCTGGCTACTTGTGTCCATTGACAATCGAAAACGGCCACTTTAGAACAAGCTCCTACACATCGCTTATTGAGAGACCTCAAAACACCAATGGGAACTCATATCTGGCCTACTCCTTTCAGTTTTGCATACAAGTATATAGTATGGGATTGGTGCTAGGCACCTCCTGGCGAGCGCTTTTCCTTTACAGTCGTCTTGGTTCAACCTACTCCAATATCGTAGTAATACAGGTTGGCGTAACGACCTAGTTGGTGTGTCATACGTCAAGACTCTCAGTGCTTCCGGAACCTAAAGTGTTTTCTCCCTTCTCCTCATGCCAAGCGTATCCAATTATAACCTAGCATTCTGTACTCCGTATTGCGAATAAATCTTACCCTATTTAAGTACGCGTCGAGAGGCGCCCTTACCTAAGTACCTACAGCAAATCAACCTCTCTTCCGTCAAGCCCGTATCAGATGAACGCAAGCTTTGCCAGTACAGAGACCAGAGCTACACCGCAGCGTAGGTAGCATGGCCAACAATAGAGCGTGAGACTCGGCTGGCATGTGTAATGCTTGGTCGCACAGATTTGAATGAGAATTCATGCTGGTTTATGCAGTACCATTGAATGCTGGGGGCTACACATCACGTACCGGTATTGTGCCCTCATTCCCATCAGACGTGATCAGACGAGTGTCAGGCATTGGCTGTCTCGCTACTTAAACCTACCGTAGATGGACAAAGACACAAGGCCCGATTCGCCAGCGCAAGAGAAAAAAACACTGTATTGCACTGGCTACACGGCCAGAGACCTCGACGATGAGCCACCACCAGAATAGCTGTACACTGTGCCGCTGGCTCTGGACGCTTTTCATGGCTCCACCAGCGACGACACCACGGCAGAGAAACCACACCAAATTGGGGATCCGGCAAAAGCTTTTTGTCACAGGAAAAGCCCGCGCCTCCACTCACTCACTCAACGCGCGAGAGGGCGGAAAAGATGATTAGGACGCGCCCTTGTTATGGGATGGTCACCCTACAAATAGAATGTACTTCTGACCTCGTTTACTTACGTCATGCAGATGAGTGCTACCTGCCTACGCCCACGTACTCACCTCAACGCCTGAGCGTCTCATCCGGCGATATATTCTCTAGATGACATCAGGTGTATCACTCTATCACTGTTCTGCAGTTCAAAGTTTTGGGTAAGCAGACTTGATTTACAATGGAAAAAGCTGAAGGTACTTGTAGCGCAAGTGTTGCACACAACTTTTAGTCATCGTGTGTCCAAGGCAAGAGGCAGCATCTGATCAACGCTCCAGTTCTGACGATGCCCTTGAGCATATCTAACAAGCCTCTCCAAAATCTTGGTTGGTTATTCTCTCTTACTTCCTGAAACTTTTGGCATTGATCAAAACATGTCTTCCCCCCTCCTGGACCTACGAAGTATACGCGTAGGTCATTCCCCTAGAATTACATCATCACATGTCTAAAATATCTACTACAATTACGTGATAGCGACTATCTCAACACCTGTAAAGGAATAAGCTTTGTTTACATGTTCCTCGAAGTTCCTCGCATCGAGCTCAAACTCAGCTTTGGTATATTTTCATGGCTTCCCATACTTAGATCAGCACGTACAGACTCATAATAGGGAGTCTTAGGCTGGGGGGTATCATTAAAGCAGCACGCAAACATTCCTTTCCTTCATAAACCCTTCGACATCGCTCTTTTTTTTTTTTTTCCTAAATGTCTTCCTCTATTGGATCGAGCACCATCTCTCTTAGACCTGCATCACTCGCCCAATCAACACCACTACCCGCCACGATCGCGCTCGCCGTGCCTTTGAGGACCTGCCATCTCTGCCGGCTGGTTTTCACCTCGGCTTCTAACGCCGCGATCTCAGCCGCGTATTCCGAGTCCTCAGGGAGAAGCTCGGATGTGCCCTTCTCTGTCTGCTTCGCGAGTTCGAGGAGGCGGTCCGCTAGCGCGACGTTCTCTCGGGTTAGACGCAGGGACCGGCTCTCGACGTCCGTCAGGTCCGAAAGTAGAGAGTGTAGCTCTGTAGTTTGGGATGCAAGTGTAGTAGATGTTGAATCCCGGTCGGTGATCAGGGGGAGAAGATCTCTACTGTACGTTAGGCTTTTTGGGTGAATTGATCCCGACGTAGATGATAATGAACGAGCATGGCGGGAAGAATACGGGTCGTAGAATAACCCACCTTTCTACAGGCGACGCGTTCGTACCGTTGTGCACGGCCTGTAATATGGGATTCGCGCTCAGCACGCTCGCGACAACCTCGTTGCGCAACGTGTATCTAGCCCGGGATTCCAAGAGCTCTTGCTGCGCTACCTCTACGGTGCGGTCTGAAGCTGTATCTGCCAACGGTGTTAATCAACAGTTGAAATGATCAAACGGAGACAACGAGATGCCGAGAATTCCTTACCAGGAACGTAATTCTTCTGTGCTTTTATCAATGCGATCTCCAGCTGGAGCTGTTCTAGCCTATCGTGAAGCTCGAGGACTTTCTTCTCCTGATCTGAGAGGACGAGGGCTGGAACGTCTGCACTCTGGCTCTCCATTTTATGAAGGCGTCAGAATATAGCACTGGATGTTACATTGATCTGTAATATCGAGTACGAGGTCGGTATTGTTCTGTCGTCGTCGCAGGGTGAATTAGGCCAATGTGTATGGCTGCCTCCCTCTGAATAGTGGCTGTGCAATATGGTTGTGGCGTTCCCTTCTTGCCCATCATCTCTTCAGCCACAGGCACCTACAGGTGGGCAGATTGACATAGGTGCCTTTGCTTCTCTCCCTTATTCTTTCAGATACCGGTAGCCTGACTTTCGTTGTTGTTGTTTCTTCTATCATTCTCTTTAAGTTACTTGGAATAAACCAGAGGCCCCAGACTGATTCACCTCGATGAATTTCCTAGCATTCTCGGTTGCTTATTCATGGCACCCTCCTTTGTGATCAGTCAGCTATATATTTAAGTACTTACCTAAACGAAGGTTACCTCTTACCCACTCACCAACTCACCAACTCTTTGCTTTTGCCAACAGCTTTCAGGTAGAAAGAAAGAAAGCTTCCTATCCTGTACGTGCCTAATGCTACATGCCTTCCGGCCCGCCTTGGTTGTTGTTGTTGTTGTTGTACTTGCGGGTTGAGCTTTAGGTAGACTCCATACGTACAGTGGGTCAGGCAGGTCCCTTGACATTGGAACGCTGGCCCCATTACGGCCTGGTTAGGTCCCAGGATCTATCAGCCTGACCTATTTCCAGCGGCTGAGGACGAATCGCATTCTGCCCAGAGCTCCCGATACGGTATCTATTCACTAGCACGTTGCTTACCCGACTCTGGATACTTCCGCTTCTTTATTTACCGTATTATCTTTCACCTTCCAGCCAACTCTCATGTAACGCGCCGAATGGGTTCACTTCCACTCTTCGCCCTCGCCCTCGTCACCCCGCGAATCTCGTTCCTTGCTTCCTCTGCGTGTTAGTGACCGAGGGATGGATGGAAAACAAGCACCATGGCGACGCAGACGCAGGTGTTGATTGCTCATACGGGCCAGCGCCTGCAAGTTGATGGATGGCAATTTTCCGAGTGAGTTCTTTCTGCATCCATCTACCTGCCGCCGGCCTCGGTCTCTTTAGACCATAGATCGCAAGTATCCAAAGCAACGATCCCCACTAACAGGTTCACCTACCAGCCTCGACGGTTTCAAAGAATGGGTTGCTCGGCAAAGCGCTATACCACCCCAGAACGTTGTAGCGCTTACTTCTCAAGGAAAGACGATAAAGATCCAAACAATACAGTCCGAGGTCAGTATCGCCAATCAAGTATGATTTGGACCGGAGCGCTTACCAACTTTGCCCAAGCAGAGAGAGATCTATGTGTACGACATCCGGATTACGCAAGCGTCCTCTCCCGGCACATCGACATCTCTTATTTCTGAATCACCGCAACCGAAGCCATACCAGGTCGGGCCGGCGCCAAACTCAATAGACGATACACGTTCACTCCGGTCATGGCAAGATCTTTTCAAGAAACGGCGCGACTGGGCACTACGTGTCTCCGCAGATTGTCGGGACATGGTGAGTGCCGCAGAAGAGCGCTATGCAGAGATGGACGTAATGCTCAAGTGCTTGGATGCTGCTGTTGCGAACCTTGACACCGCCTTAAAACCGATCGAGCCGAAATATAACGATTTCAAAAATTGGGCGACTCCAGCACAGGAGGAATATGCGAGTTTGACATCGAAATGGGAGGGGTATCTTGAGCTAGCCCGAAGTGTCCCTGTATCTGCTAGCATGGTACGCTTCATGACTGGCCAGGATGTTCGGAAGCCTCGCCAGCCTACTCTAGAAGACCTAATTGATCCGGATCCGACGCGCAAGGCAGGAAAGCTTGCGGCAACGGCGTTACGGAAATATAACGCCAAGATCTCGGATCTTGATACGGCTGCAGACAAATTGTTTGGTGGATGTGAGGAATTATTTCGAGAGTTTGACAAACTGGTCGCGCGTTCAGCAATGCAGCACGTAGGCGACTGCAAACAACTATTGGAAGACATCGAAGCGGTTACCAATAAGATTGATACCGATTACCAGACTACACTGCAGTATACGCATCAAGGAAAAGATGTATCACAAGCCTCTAAGACTGCTGCTAACCATACTAAGCAACTCTTACCAAGTATTCACAACCGAGCCTTGGAAATGGATGAGATGCTCCGATATGCCACCAAAGCTCGTAACGAGGTTGCTGCTGACTGTATTGCGTTCATGCGCAATATTGCAGAGATTACCGCACTCCATCACGATGTCAAATCTCAGATGAACCTCATGCATCAGGTAGAAGAGGAGATGACTACGTTTGACTATCTACGACTCATCCAACAGCTCCCATTCATGTATGCGTCGTTCATGGTTGAGTCTATCAGAAGGCGGGAATGGTCGGAGAAGATTAAGACGGATTCGTCTACTCTCGCTAATGAAATGGCCCTGTTCCAAGATGAGGAGCTGAAAAGGAGACGGAGGTGGGAGAAGATGGTTGGCAATACTTATGGTCCTGAAAACAACGTAAACCATGTACTTGGTCTCGAAGTTAATCTACGTGGCGAAGAAGAACGATGGCCAGAAGTAAGCAAACAAGAACTGGATGAATTCTTAGCCACGGTTCGACACCAGAATGTTGATGAGACTGTTGCGACAGATGTCGCTAAACTCATCAGCGATCTAGATAATCCCACCAAACAACAGCATAAAAGACTCAAGGCTTTCAAGAACGGCAGTGTTCACGAGGCGGTATTAGGCCGGAGCGGTCTACTTATCAGAGGAGACGATGATCTTATCCGAAATTTGCAGGGTGACAAAACAAAACTCGAGAGCAGAGTAAAGACAGCAGAAAGTCGGGTTCGTCGATTGGAGGATTTGCTGCATCGGCATACGCAAGCATCACGGCCGTCGATATTTCCTCAACAAACTGATCAGAACAATTCCTCCTCAACGTCTATACGGTCGCGTGCCTCCCAGGACCGCCGACAGTCGTCTGCATCGGAAAACAACGAAGGTCTTTTACAACGTATTGCTCAACTCGAGACTGAAATAAGTACGGAGAAAGAACGCTCTGCCGCTTTACAGAAAGAGGCGCAGACACATGCTGAACACAGGGATGAAGCCAACTCAACCAAGCAAGACCTTTTGGGCAATATGGAGGCCCTGAAAAGAGAATTCATGGAGGAACGCAAATCTTATGACCGGGAGATTAAACAGCTCAAGACACGGTTAGAAGAGACCGAAGATGCAATGGTCCAATCGATGCAAGACGAAATTGATCGCCTTAACAATGAGAAGAGAGACGATGCAGCCAAGACACAAGGGCAGTTAGACTTCTTACGCAACGAAGTCAAAGTTCAACGAGAACGAAGCGTTTCCTTAGAGCGGGAACTTCGCGAGGCTCGTGATTTGGTTAAGAGCACGAACAAGCAGGTAGAAGCTGGACGAGAAGCGACGGAAGGTTACGCACGGTCACTTAGAGAACTCTACGACAGACTGTCTCCTACGGAAACTGCGCCCTCGGAATTCGTCGATCTAGTAGATGCTGTTGTAACAAAATCAACCGATATCTTTGCAAAGATCCAATCACTTGAGCAAGATGTTTCTCTACTGAAAGCTGATCTTGGTCTTGCGGATGCTTCCGTCAGAACAGTGAAATCAGAGTTAGCTGATGCCAAAGAGAAGTTATCTAATGAGGAATTGACATCTGTGCGGCTGCGCGAGTCATTGGACAGAGAGAAGGCTAGGTGTACTACTCTAGAAGCTGAGGTGAACGACGGCCGCGAGCAGCTCAATGAGTTGCGAGTCAAGATGACTGAGGGAGAAACTGGCTCCGAGACCCTACGAAAGAGTCTTGAGGAGGAGGAGAAACGGGTCGCAGACATGGCGGAGCAACTAGCATCTAGGCAGTCTCGAGTAGGCAGCCTGGAAGAAGAAGTGCGAATGTTCCAAGAAAAGCTACGATCAACTGAATCAAGCCTTGCGACATTGAACGCAAGATTCGAAGATCGCAATACCCGCTCGAAAGATATAGCCCAACGGCTATATACTCAGAATGAACGACTCATCCGGCTCCTCGAACGTCTTAACTTCTCAGTAACACGGACAGATGGGTCAATGGTTATTCAAAAGATCCCACGATCAGAGCGAGTACCGCAAATTCCCAACGAAGCATCAGACACTGGAGCGTCCATCAAACGTTCATTACCTTCAGGTGGTAGCAATCTGGCTGACAGCACTGACCTACGATTACTTTATTGGATGAACGCCGAAACCTCCAGTGCAGAAGAAGAGCAGTACCAAGCATTCATGGCAGGCCCAGGAAACTTTGACATTGATGCGTTCTCCGAAATTATCTATCGGCGCGTAAAGGAGATCGAACACTCAGCCCGCAAGATGGCACGCGATGCCCGTAACTATCGTGATGCCGCTAATGCCGCAGCCAAGGAAGCTCGGGAGAAAATTGCCTATAAGAATTTCAAGGCTGGTGATTTAGCGTTATTTCTTCCCACCAAGCATTCAATTGCCGGGGCCTGGGCGGCTTTCAACGTTGGCTGTCCACACTTCTTCCTCCGTGAACAAGAAGGTCATCGTCTACGAAACCGAGAATGGCTTGTGGCGCGGATTACTAGTGTTCAGGAACGCGTTGTCGACCTATCCAAGAACCTTCAGTCTGCGAACTCGGCTCTCTCCGGAGGCGAAACAGATTCGATCACCACGGGTGATGAAAACGACAATCCATTCGACCTATCGGATGGTCTTCGCTGGTGGCTGGCTGATGCACAAGAAGACAAACCAGGTGCCCCATCCACACCCGGCCTCGGCAAGTCGACAGTTGCGTCCAATAAAGTCGAAGCCATAGCAGATATGCATTCACACGGACAATCCGGAAAGCACAAGTCAAAACTAGGTCCTCATAGTGGCATAGAGGGTGTGAGTAGGACGCTGAGCAAAAGCCTCGAGAGCAGACGTAGCAGTTCAGGCTCCAAGAAAGCCCTACCCTTCGCTGCAGGTACTACGGCTGCTAAAGGTAGCGCACTGGCCAGCGAAACGAACAGTCTACGCGTAGCCCATCCTGATAGCCCAGTCCTCGATGCCACCAGTCCGACACTAGAACATAGCACCGCTGCTGGACCAAGCAATGCACAGGCAGAACCAAATCCCAATAGACATCACGATAATGGTAAAAAGGCGGTCCCCGCGAATAATACTAACACTAATGAGGTGCGAAATGCCGCTGATTCTCTCTTCGGCCCTTGAACTTAGAAAGTGGAGTGAGTGGGACGAACTGATGGGAATTGAATTCTTAGGACCGTCGTCGTCATCACGATGAATTACCACCATCACCGCAAAGGCAGCAGCAGAATCAATTTCGGCGACAACATCAACCGCCGCAGCTCGTCCGCGATGCGAGCGATACCCCGAGCAAGAGGAGCATTGTCTGGGATTCACTGTGGAATCTAGATGTTAGCTATCCAGGACGATGAAAGATAGGAGATGAAGGGCATGCATGCATGATACAACATTTGCTCCAACAAGCGTCCTACGTCGAACGCTTCCTACCGACCTACCAGCGCCCTACCTCTCTTTCGAAGCTTGCGACAACATGAACTTGGTTTTTATCAATAGCAAGGAGCAGCGGCGTTTCCTCGTTCTGTTCTATTCTATTTCGGGAATCTTTTTTTCCCAATTCATTTTATGTCTTTTCTTAGCATGAGGTATCGCTTCACCGCTTCAGCGCGGACCGGAATTAGGGGTCTTGGACTGAATTATCGTTGGAAACATGGGGGTTTTACTAGGTGTACGAGGTAGTCGATCGCTGCGATATGGTGTCGCGTAAGTGAGGATTTGGGAAAGGCAGTGGGGACTTGTTAAACTTCTGGCCTCTTCCCCACGGAATTACATGTATAGTGTAGAATGAGCATACCCCTTGTCCGATTCATTGGTCGTTGAGCATTGAAATAAACATATTACAACATCCCATTAATTAGGATTTCTTTTCATGCCACGATAATGACAAGGAATGAAGTTGTTGGCAAATATACATGTTGTACATCTATGAGTCAGGAGTTTTAACTAATCGTATTTACATCATGGCATGTATATATGGTACAATAGATAGGTATGTGACAGTTTATGTGTTTATTTCGAGAACCCATTGCATCACGAGTTCACGGAGTGAGTATCTGAGTTCCTCATATCCAAGCTGCAATATCTCGGACTGTGACATCACATCCCATCTAGTTTTCGTGGGATAGATTTCACTTCACCTTCGATCATGCCGTCGCAGCACACGTAGGATGATCTCACGGCAACTCAATCGGGGATCATAGAGTCCAAGACCCTCCTGAGCGATAATCGTGCCGTCAAAGAGTGCATCACTCGTAGATTAGACTCTGAACTCTCTTGCCCTTAGTCGATGCTGGGATAGGATTACGAAGACTCGGGCACGACCTGCACGGTACGGCTCACAGACTCAATGACGCGCCCTTCGGCGCCAACGCCAGGCGAGATGCGGACCTGGAAGGTGCCGAGGCGCTTAATGCGGTTGTCGCCGTCGTACTCTGGATCCAAGCCGATGATTTCGAGAGATTCGTCTTCCAGAGCGACACGGCCGCCGTTAGGGTCCGCGACTAGGTTCTCCTTGATTACGGCCAGGATGTCACCCCGCGACACGGAGCCGAAGATGGGGGTCACTTCCGCTGCTGCGGCGTCGGACGTGGAAATCGCGGCATTGGCTGCTAGAGACGGAGACCGGGGTATGGCTGGTTCTGCCGGGGTCGTGGATACGGGGATACGGGGGAAGACGAGGACTTCGGGGAGGAGCGTGCTGAGGAGGGTCTGTGCTTCCTCGGGCTGTACATGTCATTGTTAACGAATTGCATTCCTGTTTTCACACGCATACTGCTTTTCAGGGGAGGTAGGGAAGCGTACCGATAGCGCTAGAATTTCCTTGCGCTTGCTCTTACTCGTCGAGGAGGAGGAGGTCTGCTTCTTCTTGTCTGTCTCTGCTTCTACCACCAGCTCTTTGCCGAAGGTGCGGTCGCGCACGCCGATGGCGCCCTCGCTGAGCCCGAGCTCGGTGAACCGCTGCTTCGTCATGTACTCGGCGGCGCCCTTGGGGAACCAGATGTTGCGCATACGGCCGGCTTTTACGCGGATTATGGAATCTGTTTCGTTGGAGCGTCAGTCAGCCAGTTCCCTCTATCCGTCTGGTAGGTTGGTTGGGAATCTCCCACCCAGCCTTTGGGAGATTGCTCTGAAGATTGGTGGGGGATTTCGAGGCGGACATACGTTTCCGTCCGAAACCCGGGATGTCTTGCAGCAGGCGCACCGGAATACCCTGCAAGTCCTCAAGCTCGGCCTTTGTCGCCTTCGCACGGGTCTGTGTCCATGATAGCGGCGAGGGGAGGTGTGGCTGTTGCGATGCTAACCGCCGGAGACAGCTCATACAGGTGGGGGAGCGCGCGAGCCGCGGTGTCGCCATGTTGTCGACGTCTTCGGCCCAATTGACCAGGTCCGGGGGTGGGAGATTATGATCGTATACGGGGGCCCGAGGCTCGCTGTATCTCTCTCTCGAAATGGGAGGTCTTGAAGCTCTAGATAGATGATCGAGACGTTTTTCGGCGTGGTCGATTTTTAAGTGGGCCGGTCTATGTTCCTGGACTTGGTGGCCCAATCAGAAGTGTGGTAGAGTCTTGGCCAGTGAGTTAGCTGCTGAAGTACCTAGCTTAAGCCTCAGAGCTGTATCACAGATCAAGTGGGTGGTGATCTATGTAGACAGACACTGGCCTCCATTCCATAACCCAACTTCAAGATCAATGCATGTGCAAGAGATTGCTTGCCTGCCTGTGAATTATGAGTGTATACCTTGGCTACATAGGTACGTACCGGGCAGGTACCTGCTGTCAAAGCTTAATGATGCTAGTAGCAGTGACGATCTCGATAGTACTAAAAGATGTGAGATTGATGGCAAGTGCAAAGACACCCAGTACTATGTACCTACATATAACTACCTAGGTAGGTAGATACCAGGTAGGTACACAGGTAGCTTTTGCTGTGTGTGACTTCCTCGACATGAGATATCTCACCTTTGGCAGATATCAAGGCAAGTGCTCTCGAGGTTCAGTCACAGCTTAGAAAGCATGTCAATGCCCAAGTGCATACTTCAGCTATCAGGGCTGCAGATGCCTCACCAGCAAACATTGAAGGTTGAGGTGTTTGAGCTTCTCCCTTTTCATTTTCCGTTTTTATGGCCACCATTCATCTGTCAAACTGTCTGAGACGCTTCAGAATTCCTCTCTTGCGCCCCTCGAGCTCTTCTATCTTTCGATAGAAACCGCAGAGTGTCATATAATCTGGGGTCTTCCTCCTACATCTTGCTCGTTCACCATCGCCTTTTCAACCTCAGCTGCTCTTATCACCGCACACCTCTCTAGATAAGACATTAAAGACATTGAAGTCTATGTACGCGTATAATCAGCTCAGTTGCCTGTTCTACCCCCTGCTCCCGGTGAACACGGTGACGGATATACATATGACGGGCTTGGATATTGGTCCCTCATTGCCCGCTATGAAAGAAGAGCCAGCCAGTATCTGTCTTTTTGCCTCTAGAGTCACGTTTTCGGCCGAGAACAGTGTAAGTGACAGCAACCCAGCCAAATCCGAAGTAGGCACATCCTCCAATTCTCTAAAAGCAGACTACACTCCAAACCTTTTCACGGGTTTCCCAAACTCCCCAAAGGGGTATGAGGCGAGTGCTCCTATGAAAGTAGATTATTCGTTGCAAATACTCACTGATATATAATAGGATTGGAGCATAAGTCAGAGCTCTCGTAAACCAGCAACTCCAGTTGCTGCGCCTGTTACTTCTCTCACAGTCAAAGTAGCCCCTCCCGTTATTAACGAAGAAAATGCCGCTCCAACACCTCCCGTCATTGCGTCTGCAGCTACTATTACGCCCAGCTCAGCTATTGCGCCTGCATCACTTATGCCACCCCTGCCGACGCAGAGTGCTCACTCGCAGAAACCAACACCAATACAACGCCGTAATCGGGAGCGGCTGGAGGCCCTAGCTACACGGATTCAGAATTTCAACGGATCTGTCACGGAGCTCCTGACTGTTGCCAATGTCCAAGAAGAGCTGGACATTGCCTTCGATAATCTCATTTATGCCCAGAATCAGCTCAAGGGCGTGCTGCGACGGTTTGAAGTTGATGGATACATAACTAATCGTCAGAGCAGCAAGAGATATGGCGCCCTGAAAGACATGACGAAAGCAACTCGCCGTCTTGGACAGTTGATGAACCAGCTCTGGAATCTTCAGCGGTGTTAGACAGGTAGCCACCACTGGGGCACGTGATTTTCACGAATGCGCGAAAGCTTTGGACATGTTTCTGCAGAGACGTACACAGAAGCAGATATTCGTGTAGGCATTGTGAGACATTCCTGATCTTTCTGTGGTTTTCAAAATGCAGGACTAGCTGTACTTGTGTGACTCCAACGCACTCACTACCGCCCTGATCCTGGGTGGTAACTCGCCGGTGAATGAACTGGTGGTATGTACCTGGTATCGTGAACACAATCGACGCCTTGAGGCGCCTCGCAGTCACCGCGGAGATCCAGCGGACAATATGTGCAGGGACCATTTGGTATGCGTTCTCCATCATCATCATATGCTGCTGTACACCTATATCCCTTCATACCCTTCGCTTGTGCACATGCTGTCATCCCCGCACGCAATTCGGTGCTACTAATGCGCAAGGTCACCGGGCCAATGCCTTGATCTTGTTATGTAATAGCACCAGAATCCCGGCTCACTACACCCGACTTGCCTTGCCGTCCACTATTCCTTAGGACGAACAAAAACCGCCAAAGCCAATCGTGCAATACCATTGACTATTATGTTAGTCATTATGAGCTCTCCACGTAGAAATGGTCGTTCAATGTCTGGTTCCGAGTTTCAGGGCAACATCAACTTTATTGAAATGGACAAGCAAAACCCGGTGCCGTTTTACCAAATCATCCCATTGTCCTGGTTACTGAACCCTCGTATTATCGACCCGAAGCCACACTGAATCCTCAAGTTTATAATTATCATCAATCGCCATGTGCTGTGTCGGTACCGTCATCATGACTTCCCCCGGCTGCAACCATGCGCGACAGAACGGTTGGCAAGACACCGCTGTTGCAAGGCATCTGAGCGACCTCATAACTCGGTGCTCGTCTTGCAAGCCGGATCAGGCTTTTTGTGGTAAACTTACCATCGACAATGCCTCCAACACTCAGTCCAGTTCTTCGACCCGCCGTTCCCGGGGAGTTCCACCGCCCCCGTCTTTAGCATCATTAATTCAGCCCACTCCTGGCTCCCCCGCGAAAAATACCCTCGACGGCAAGTGCAAATTTTGCACTTCCTATGAATCAGAAATTCGGCTGGCCGATCACATCAAACAAACCTTGAGAGATTACAACATGGCGTTGTTACTTGACGGCGCGCGCGTTGCGGTCCAAGCTGAAAGTATGGCCTGATTGCCTCTACTGCTTCATCCTAGGATGGCCAAAACCAAGTCAATACTGTTATATGTAGTTTCTCCACATATAACAGTTTTAGAGCTATTTTGGGAGTCCTAGATTTTCTTGTTGAAGTCGCTGACTTTGGCCCTGGTAGTGGAGCGCGCATTTCAGCGTGCTGTTGACGAAGCCGTTAAAGCGTATGGCATAGATGGGAAAGGCCGGGATAAAGCCCTCCGAACACGTAAGTGCTTGAAATCTCCGTTCTCCCGGAACGCCCACAAATTTGGGCTGGAGCTGTAGTTGTTGACCCAGTTTCGCAGTGGATTCTGAGTATCAGAAAGCTAGCGCCGAAATTAGTAGGATCTGTGGCGAACAACAATTAGCACCTTACCGAGAGCTCTACGGCAGGTGAACCAGTTACTCTACACTACGAAAGCGCATCACGAATGACGATTAACATGACGAATTCTGAAACGCTATTATCCAGATCTGAGCGAGGAGTACGAAAATAGAATTTTATTTTTACGATTATCTGGAAACGGGATCGCGATCATCATTCACTACGAAATTATTCACAGTACTACACCAGTAGGGACAAAAAGGAATATACGTGGTTGTCCTCACTTTTCCGATATATGTGGGCACGGAACAAGTTTCAACTACCTTTTCATGCCGAGCATTAGAATATGGATCATTGAGCACTCTTATTGCATTATTTATGATATGTGATGCAGATGGATTTTCAAAGCAACTTATCTATCCTTTCGCAAGTGACTCCAAAACTTTCGAACTTCATGGCTAACCATTATTAAACCCTTGCAGTTTCTCTTCGCGGCTGTAGAGCAAATCAGACCGCTCTCCCATATGTACCAATTCACCTCTATACGCTTCAGGTAGAGCTCTTAATGCTCTGTTGTCATGCTCTAGACTTCCACGTGTCTGACCCCCAGAAGGTACACAATTTGATAGGACATTCGTCAATATGCTCCTACTCGCTCCTCTTGAACATACATAATGGTGGCTACTGTTGTGCATCCTATAGAAGCGGGTTTATTATGCTATGCGGTGAGCAATTTTAGACACAAGATATTGTATCTCCACACAAATAATAATTCAAACTACGAGATGACAACATGATAGACGAATCATCCTGGTGCTAGATAAACCTTCCCCAGTCACAGCTTTTTCATGTCTCAAAGTCGGGGATTGTTATAACCCTAACCCGTGTAAAGAAAGAACGCATAGGTGGACAATAGAATCTATCCTTGTTCACGATACTGGTTCACAAACCGGAATTGCAGGCTCTCACTTGCGTGTGTCGTCTTTGAAATAGCCAAGAGTGAGACCCGTATAATAAGGAACCTACATGTCTAGTTCGGATCTGGAAATTGGATACCCTCCCGATTACCGTCTTAACTCACATTTCAAGCCAATCACACACGCACGATTCTCATCGAAAGGTACAGGATCGCTCCCACCCCTCATCCCCAAACCGACGCAACGGTCTAGAAGCGGCAACCACCCGGCCTTGCCAAGGCATCGGAATGCACCACCTCTCCGCCCGCTAGTTTGTCTTTCGGCTCTCTTTCTTGCCCGGTTTCAATAAGGAAGGCCAAAGGAAGTATGTATCTTAAGAGGATGCGATGGGGTTGTACGAAGATGAACCCCTTGTCCACACCGACCGGTGTGCCTGAGAGGAGCACATAGCGAATGAAGCTGGCACGGTGGTAGAGGAGGACGCATCATATGTCGCCATATGTTCGTCTTCTTGTCATAAGAGGGGGGCTAGAATACAACGGGTATGTAGTACGGCATTGGCAGTGAGGAGATGTTCTCTTTCGCCTCTAGGCGCAGGAAGAATACTCACCTATCTACACTATACATGCACGCACGGGTGAATATTTATGGCTGGGTGCTGCATGTTGGGAACGACCTTGTTATTTAAGTATCTTGTTATTCGGGGTAGAGCGGCACCAGGCGAGGCTGTCGTTACTTATACGATAGTGATGTACATTCATTCTTCATTGGCTGTCGAGGTTTAGGATGTTTACTCACGTGCTTAGATTGTCTTTGCCTGGCAGTCTTACTAGAGAAACTCTCACCGACTAGGCAGACAGATAAAATCGAAGCATCAACTCACACACAACAACCCCTCGGGTTCAAGGTACTACACATGACATTGGAAGATCCGTCGGTTTGGCTGGCATAGGCTCCTTGCAGATAACAGGCAACCACTTTAAGTTCTCACGTTATGTCCTACGTACATGGTACGTGCATACATGCTCATGTCATTATCGCAGCTGTAGTGCATCTATATAGCCTAGGACGATCCCATTACCAACAGACCAAATCCAAAGGCACTGCAAACCAGAATCTCTTCAGCCTGGAAGAGATGAGTAATCAATCAGACCGACACTGGCCACTTTACGATCATGGCACTCCCTGTTTTAGACAACAAGTTGTCATCGGAGATAGCATCGTGTTACAACGCAGTAAGGTAAGCAAGCATCTTGGCAACGACTTGGCGCAACTCTTGGTGTAACTATACGACGTATTACAGCGGTGTGTATACTACTGCACTCGCTGTAATTATAGCGCACTATCATTTAGTTGACTGCGTTGAGTTCTGTATTTAGACGGGAACATCCAATAGCTTCGCAAGAAGTTCCGTAGATATTCTCTATACCAAGACGCTTTGCTGGATACTGTCTTATTCATCACGGTAAGCTCCGCGCGTATCTGCCGTGATTCATTCTCTGAGTTTGGCAACAAAGGCAATTTCGCTTCAAATGCGCCCAACAAATCCTCCCGTTCTCCGATACCTACTAAGTGTTGCCCCTGTAAGGCCACAGTTCGCATATTTTCAATAAATTCCCCGAAAGAATAATTCTGTCATTGGTCTTTTATTGGGCAAGGTAACTTTATATGTGTAGAGATATATGGAAAGTAAGTCACATGATGAGCGGGAGGATTGAGGGGCGTCTGTGAAGCGAAATTGCCTTGGTTGCTATAAACTCTGAAAAAATGCGGCATCTTCCGTGGAAGATGGTGAGATCTTGGGATTTTCCATCTTACCTATCACCTTGGCGTGTATATACGACTTACACGTCTATGTACGACTTCCTGTCTTGTCGTGATGCCACGACCAACCTTCTTCTCATTGGTAGGCCGAGGCGCGCGAAGCCAGGGTCGAATACGGGGGGTTCAAGATGGGCTCGGGTTCAAAGAAATCTAAGAATAGGCAGCAGGGATGGATATCGAGAGAAACATAATTGAGGTATGCTCTACAGAAAAAAAAGTTTTTTTTTTTTTTTTTTTTTTTTTTTTTTTTTGTTGTTTTTTTTTTTTTTTTTTTTTTTTTTTTTTTTTTTTTTTTTTTTTTTTTTTT